GACATCATAACACATTTTGATCCATCATATTAAAGACATATTAATTGGTCCTAGTGAACAGGAAGTAGTAAGTACCCTAGATGCCTTAGTAAGCTATGTGCTGGATGGTGAGAGAGAAATTCAATGAAAAATCAGGGGCCTGCCACTTTGGCAAAGCTTCTAGAGGGTCAAGTAGTCTATGGGATATTATAGTATCCCTTCTAAAGTGAAAGACAGTGGCTACACCTTGCACTGCCTACAACTAAGAAAGGCACAAGGCTTGCCTTGTTTGGATTTTGGATACAACCATATTTGGGTGTGCTGCTCCAGTCTACTTACTGAGGAGCAATAGGCTTTTTGGTTTCAAGAGAGATCTGGACAATAAAAACCTACAGCTTTGGGGCCGGCCTGGTGGTGTAGTGGTTGGGTTCCTGCACTCCACTTTAGCGGCCCAGGGTTTACAGGTTCAGATCCCAAGCGCAGACCTACACATTGCTCATCAAGCCATGCTATGGCAGCATCCCACATACAAAATAGAGGAAGACTGGCATAGACGTCAGCTCAGGGACAATCCTCCTCACCAAAAAAAGCCCCCTACAGCTTTCATACAAGCTGTCCTGTTACTCAGGCCTGATGACCCACAAGTTTCAATGATGCTTAAAGTGCCTTTACAACTAAGGATGCAGACCACTATAAAGCCTCATTACAGCAGAGCAAAGTTTTGCCTTCTGCTAACTCATTCTCCATTTGAGAAACATTTGACTTACTCCTGGGTCTTGGCAGAGATCCAACTCGTCCATGGGATACCAAGCAATATGCCATTCAAACTGCCAATCGTGTACTGGGTGCTGTCTGATCACCAAGCCATCAAGATACGTGAGTGTAGTAGTAACCCATTATCACATGGAACTGCTATTTATGTGAAGTGTAATAAAAAATACATATATTTGGTCTTTGCCCTTGGTTCCTGGCTAAAACTCTTGGAATTTCCCGAGTGACAGGACTGTCCTTCTGCTGTAATGAGCCCCTTTTGACCATACTTGAGTTTTTGCTAATGAGGTGACTCATGGTGCAGCTCCTAGTTAGCTTCAGAATGGAGGCTGGTTGCCACAGGGGAGGGGCTGGAGATTGAGTTCAATCACATGGCAAATAATCATGACTACATCATGCAGCCTCGATAAAAACTCCTGAACAAGGTTTGGGGGGATCGTCCAGGTTGGTGAACACACTGATGTGCTAAGAGCGGGCACAGAAGCTCTGCACCCCTGCCCCCTTATCTGTCCTATGCATCTCTTCCATTTGCCCATTTTTGAGTAATCTTCTTTATAATAAGCTGGTAATCATAAGCATAGCACTTTCTTGAATTCTGAGTCATTCTAGAAAATTACCAAACCTGAGGGAGGGGTTGTGAAAAACCCCCAACTTGTAGTTAGCCAAGCAGAAGTGTGGGTAGCCTGGGGACCCCACTTACAGCTGCTGTCTGAAGTAGGGGCAGTCTTGTCGGACTGAGTCCTTAACCTATGGGGTCTGTGCTGACTCCAGGTAGTGTCAGAATTGAATCGAATTGTAGGACACTCAGTGTTGGGGAACTGGTGTTGAAAAACGACAGAAGATGACTCAAGCAGATCAAGTTGGCAAAAGTAAATTGCATTAACAGGTGGCTCAGTTCCCATTAAATTTCTCCTGCTGAGTTGTCCCTATGCCTCTGTCCACTCCTATTCTGGATATGAATTTGCTTTTCTTCCCCAAAACTCATTTGTGGACTTCTCAAACTACTTACCATCACTGGTTCTGACCAGAAAACTCTTCTCACAGCAAGCACGGCACTAGGCTTAAGACCATGTAATTCCCTAATGTTACCATAAACTCCCATCACCCAGAAGTAGCTCACCCAATGGGTGGTGGAAAGACCTAGGTACCTACTGAAGAATCACTTATGGTGCCATTTCTTCCCAGCCAGAATACAGCAGCCTGGGAACCCAAGGGGGGAAGATAGAAATGGCCCCTCTTACTGTTATGCCAAATAACTCCTGAAGGAACTTTTGCTACGACTCTGGGTTCTGCTGTCCCAAGGGAGGACTGCTTCCACCAGATATGACAATGGTCCCTTTGAACGAGCAGTTGAATTGGGACAGGGGTTACTGTATTAGCCGGTGCAATGGACCCCAATTACCAAGGGGAAACTGGGTGGCTGGCAATGAGGACAGGAGAATCTCTCTGTAATGTCTTCACTGGGTACCTCTTGGTATTTACTGCTTTCAGGTTCGATTGTAAAAGAAGAAAAAAGGAAGTCCTCTAAAAAGACTATTATGGTCTCAAATCTTTCAGGAAGGGAAGTTAGGTCACCCAACCAGCCAAGGTACAGGCTGAGGGCCAGAAAACAAGGACTAGGCGATGGGAGGAGGAGGTGATAAATATCAAATAGCTCCTTGTGACTAATTATAGAGACTGGGGCGGTGCATTTTTCACTTTAACGCATTCACCTTCCCATTTTGTATGACCTGCTTGGGTGCATTACCTGTGCACATTAGTAAAGGGGCTGACCCAGTACTGAAGGAGAAGTCTGTACATTACCTGGAGGGTCTGCACTATTGAGCTATGACACCTCGTGGGCCTTGGAGAGAAAATTAGAGCATCTTCTTCCATATGAAGAAATTTGCCTCACATTGGGCAGGGGCGTTAGATTACATTTCGGTCATTAAATGTGGGTGGAAGGGTGAAAACAAATGCTTGGCAGCCAAAGGAGTGGACTGTGCTGGTCATCAGCTGGTGTGCTTCCAGACCAACTCTGGCCTGTCTGCACTGCACAGGGACCATCCCAGGCTCCCTCGTCTAGTTCTGGTGAACAGGAGGGCAGGAGGGCAAAGACGGACATTTCTCTCCCTTTCACTCGTTGCAGGCAGCAACTCTGGCAGCTGATGCATCTCCTCTGTGGGGTTGGCTCCTACCAGAGGGGCTCTGTCTCTGTGTCCCAGTAGTAATTCCATTGACCCTCCAGCCCCAGGGCAACAGTAGCTTCCAGCATGGCTGTCTCTGGGTTGCCTCACCATGCCGCCTCATGTCTCAGCTCCTCCATCATCAGAGTAATCAAATCCTTGTACTAATTCCCTTTGTTTGAAAACAAGGGTGGTTTCTGTTTTCCCGCCTGGGCTCTGATAGAGTATACTGTGTTAGGTTAAGGCATCCTGGGCCAGACTTCAGTTGGTCCTGATGTATTTTTTCATGTTTTATTACGAAAAATTTTAAACCATAAACAATATACTTACTAACGAGATTCAATATTTTAAAAAGATTTTGCCATGTTTACTTTATCCATATACATGTGTGTATGTTTTTTTCCTAACAGAACCATTTCAAAGTAAGTTGCATATGTTATGGCTCCTATTCTTAAATAATTCAACATATAACTCCTAAGAAAAGGAATACTCTCTTACATAACCATTATTGCATCTAAGAAAATTTAACAATAATTCCCCTAAAAATTACTATCCAGGACAGATTCAGATTTACCCACTTACCCCCAAAAATGTCTTTATAGCTGTTTTCCCCCCAATTTAGGAACTAATCAAGTTTTACACATTGCATTTGGTTATATCCCCTTAGATCCCTTCAATCTAAAACAAGCCCTACACTTTTGTTTTCCCATTAAGATTATCTATTTGATGAAACTAGGCCAATCACTTATAAAATATCCCACATTTGTCTTTTTCCTCATGGTTTCATGTAATTTGTTCCTCCATCTATAAGCTGGGAGCATGCCATGGGAGATGCTGCATACTTCACATGACATTGTGCCAGGCCACCTGTGGGGAGCTGTGAGTAAAGTGGAGACTATCAATCTTGGCACTGTAAAAGTGGAATTTCATCTTAGTTTTAGGACCTGTTGATGAACCTAACCTGAACTGATTATTTCGCTGGGGGTTGCAGAATGGTGGTTCTCTAATTGTGTCCATTCCCTCTGTATTAACTAGCTGGCACTTTTCTGTAAAGAATGTTCCCCCATCAACAAGCAAAGCAGGGTGAATGCCCCTTTCTCTTTAATTATCAACTCCCATGGTAATGAGTTGTGTGATGCTCACTTCCACTGCTGGCTTTAAATGAGCCCTCCCTCCCTTGTCAACTTAACACTAGTGCACAAGGATATTTATTTATTCACTAGTTGATAATCAACTTCAATCATTATTTTTCTGGATGCTGAAACCAAAGAGACATTTCTTGTGTTCCTGCTACTAAGGCTGTACTAAGATCTCAGCCTCAGCAGCATCAAGCAGAAGGGTGCAGAACTCAGTGGAAAAGTTGAGATGGTTGTAAAACGTTGACCTTAACATAGTGTTGGCTAATACGCAGAAAATGCAGACAGTACCAGGGTTGCAGGTTGAAAGGAAAATCCATCACCGAAATAAGCAGTGATTTAGAAAAAGTTGTTTTAAATTAAAACCTAAACCAACAGAATAAATGTCATGTTCAAAAGTCCTAAAAACACAATGAGATACTCATAAATATACCCGTATGATAGGTTTTTGGGTAAAGGACCCTTGGCTAGATATAAACATGTGTAAAACATGAAAAGGTCATAATTGTGAGAAACAGATACGTGGTGGAAGCATCTTACAAAAATAAAATTACGCAGCCACATGAGGGTAAGCAAAGGCAAGTGGCTGGCTGTCTCTACCACGTGAAGCGTACTTTGAGTTCCACTGAAAAGCTCTGACTTACAGGAGTTTAACATAAATTCTATTTTATCTTTTTGCCAGTGATAAAAGGAAACTCAGTAAAATTAAAAAACAAGACAAGGGGTAGGCTAGCTCAGTGGTGCAGTGGCCCGGATCCCAGGCACAGACATATGCACCTCTCATCAAGCCATGCTGTGGCAGGCATCCCACATACAGAACATAGGAAGATGGGCATGGCTGTTAGCTCAGGGCCAATCTTCCTCACCAAAAAGAGGAGGACTGGTGGTGAATGTTAGCTCAGGGCTAATCCTCCTAAAAAACAAACAAAACACCAAAAACAACACAAGGGCTGTTCACAAATAAAACAGTGCTTTAATTTCATTCTTTTTGTTTTGAAACCGAGTTTCCATCTGTACACTTGAAGAAAATAAGCCACAAGCAGCCATTCTCTGCTTACCCATCCTGGAGGCAGGCAGGTGGCTCTGCCAACACGCACAGAACTGGGCAGATGTCTGACACTCTTGAGCACACACGTCACTTCATGAAGGTGAGGAGCTAAAATGTACTAAAGTCACATAGAAAACACTCCATTTGGCTTCGCAGCAATGCAATTAATGGCACTCAGGGATTGGCATCTGAGGCACATGAGGGCTCAGTACACCATGCCACATCACAAGCTTTTCTTAAAAAAAGGAAAAACAAATCTTTTCCTTAAATAGAACTGTCACAGGTAAGAGCCACAAGGATTTTATTCATTGTTTAATCTTCTGGCGGCAGGATTTCTTTGAAGTGGAATCTAAATATAAGTAAAAATGATGTAGCAATTTGTTAGAAGGCTTCACACGTCTTTTAAGAATAATTTCACAATTTTAAAATACCACCACTGAATTAATCTTATTTTTGGTAAAAATAAGAATTACAATTAAAACATATAGTGGTTTAAATTATGATGGTTAAGAAACACTGGATAAATTATATCCTGGCTGCAACATAATCTTTATGTTTCCTATGAGTGTAAGAGAAAGGACCAAAAGGCCCAGCTAGTCATTCAGTCAAACCAATCCTGACACCCACTGCTAAGTACACTGTTCACACATTTCTGAGATGTCCTCGTACTTACAATCTTTCTTCTAATGCTATTAATGACAGCTGATTATTAAGACCAAAACTAACAACAACTACTAGGCTGAATTCTAGCAGTTTTTTCTGTATTATTTTACATTCCTAGGGTATGGTTATACTATTTTGAAAAGCAGTTAGAGAAGGACGTTTATTACCTGGTTGTACCCCCGCTAGTCTTTGCTGAATCATTTCTAAATGGTGAATATATTCCGTCAAGGAATGTTCTGGATCTTCAGAAGCAGTCAGGGATCTTTCTGATCTTGAATTTGGGGATGGGTTGGATCTTCAACAAACAAACCACCAGACCAAGAAATAAACAAAAAAGAGTTGAACTCAACAGAGTGAACACAGTGAGCACCAGACAGGAAGTGGTGCTGGGTCCTGCTGACGAGACAAGCTGTGGAAATGGGTAAATCAGATGGTTGTTTCCTTCCTATCCTTTCTTTACCACAAAAGAAAAAAGTAAGGCTTTAAAAGAGTGCTGCATAGTGCTTTAAAAACCAAACCTCTATACACCGTCTCATAGTTAAAACGAGTAAGAATAATTGTATATTATTTTATTCACTAAATCTTCGTGTATGAATCTATTCCCTCAACTGGATTATGCACCAGCGTCCTTCAGACCTATACTCTGGGCCCTGAGGGAGCTGTCCTTCCCCAATTGCCCTAAATATCCCCTTCACTTGGGGTTAAACTCGCCACTGTCCTGTTCCACTGTCAGCTGCCCTTCCTCCTGGTCTCCCGCCAGGTGTCGGGTGCACCACCTGTGTTATTCTTCACTTTCTTTTCAGGGTAGGGAATGTGTCATCCTCATGCCATCTACCTAAAAGAGGGCTCGGCCACACTTCAACACTCTTTCAATAAATGTTACCAACCCGGGCACTGGGGGGGGTGCCACAGCCCCCAGACAGAGAATCTCTGCCCTCCCCGAACAGAACCGGTCTTCGAGGCCCACACGGACTCACACTGGTACATTCCCTGCCTTGCTCTGGGGCTGGGCCAAAGCCAAAACTTTCAAAAGACATTTCTTTGAGGAATCACATATGCTAGTGGGACATGATTAGCAGAGGTGATCAAAAGCTAGATGCACAGTGAGCTGAAACATTCAGCTGCCCAGAGGTGAGACTCATTTGTGCCTGTGCTGGCACGTGACACATGGTGCCACTGACACTTGTGCATATTGTTTCTCCGTCAGGATAGTGACACCAGAGATGGTTACACTCACAAAACACAGCTTGTATGGAGACGTTATCATCTACCAGAGGCCACGGAGTGAAAGAGTAAATGCTAGCATTTCATGCCTTGCTAGCCTGATGGCAGACATGGATGATGTGCCTTGCACTCAGGAAAGTAGAGCCTGCTCATTTTAGAATACTAGGAAAGCACACACAGAGGGAAAAGAGATGACACACCTACATGGTTCTTAATGTGAGAATGTGCAAGTCATAAACTGAACTTTTCTATACACTTTAAAGATACATTCCAAATACTGGAAAAGTCATAACTGAAAGAATTAAATGAATGACTCGTAATCTAGAATACCTCATTTCAGCATTTAAATAGGATTATTTACACGGTTCAACCTAGAGAGATAGAAATGGAAATCACATCTTTCATAAGTAACACTTGGATGAGAAATCTCATGGTCAGGAAAATGGGGTGTAATTTGTGATGAAGATAATTAAGATTCACGACACGTCTCTTGACAGGCCACAACATATTACATCAAATCCCTATGTGGGCCTCAAATCATAACAATTACACATAGTCACTGTGGAAATCTTTCACTTTAGTTTTTAAACAAAATTATGTTCTACAATCTAGCCACAACTCTTCTTAACTATTTTTTTAATTGAAAAGGTTTTTCCCCCAAATAACTTATAGATGTTTAACATTGTTGCTGTAACATCTCAATGCCAATGGAGTCGTTAAGTATAAAGGCACATTATATGTGTAAAAAACCCCAAATCCCACAGAAAAGACATTAAGTAAAGCCAACTAAGGTCTTGCGTGGGGGGGTTACTTGTGCCTGGGGGCCCCCTTTCGTTAGAGGGAGGTCTGGGCACCCACACAGATCGGCCCAAGGACACCTCCACACATGGCAGCTTGTCTCTACAGACTGAGCTCCTACTGATGGGCTACAGACCAGGTCCCATCTAACTCTGACATGGAAAGTGGCTAGAGGCCCCACAACTCACCTTTCCCTCCTGCGAGGTGAGGCTTTTGGCACAGGGTCCCTGGTGTGGCTGGAAGACACGTCCCGGGTTGGGGATTCACTGGTTTCAGGTGGAGACTGCTGTTGCTGTGGCCCCAGGAATCCTTCCCCCAGAATCACTGCACAACAGAGGGATCAGGAAAAGAGATGAACACATTTTAGCAGGAAGGCCCATCTACCAAAATTTTAAATTTATAAGCTTTTAAGAGTCTGCATGGCGACTTCAAAACATTTTTAAAGTACTCAAGTTACAAAAGTTGTATTTTAAAAAGCTCTAGAAAAAACCTAAGTTTTGATCACCTGTACTTTACTCCTACAAAGCTGACCCTGAGTCCTGGCCTCTGTATGGGCAGCGCCCTGGAGGAGTGCACAGGGCCCTGACAGAGGTAGGAGAGTGCCAGGGGAACCTGGGCTGGGGTCTCCTCCACCCAGCTCTGAGGTGTGGGCTCAGGAGAGGGAGGGGCAGAAACCCTGGAGACCACGAGATGCACCTAGGTGGGAGGCAAACTTTCCTGAAGGCCTGAAGGCTGACAAAGCAATCTGATTTCAAGAAGTAACAATGTGTGGAAATCAAAGCTGATCAGCACTGCCAGACAACCCCAGTTGCCATGGTCGGCAGAGCTCTGGGGGCAGTGCCCGCTTGCAGCCTCCCCTCTGGGTGCCAGGGCCCCACAGGACCAGGGGCTATGTCCCTATATGCTGGGTGGGAGGCAGTGACCTCTGCAGAGGCCTGCTCTTGTTCTGCGTGGGGGCAGAGAGCTGCAGAGACAAGATGTGACTGAGCCAAAAGCAAGCAATGACGCTCTCAAAGGAGAGGTGCAGCAGCATGAAGCAGAACTTCACTTGATTTTGGAGAATAAAAAAGACTTTGTATTAAAAATAAGCTATTAGTCAATATACTTAAGCATTTCTGTATTTTTCAATCACCATTTGCTCCTCCGTACCACACTGATTCATTAACTGTACAAACTGTGGTTTTATTTGTGCTTGTTTCCAACATAAACACCATTTTCCTTCAAAAACCATTTTGCCTCTTTGACAACTGCCCAGACTGAAGTTACTCATTTCTCACTGAGCTTCAGTACGGCCCCACGGGCACTGAGAAATGGCCAGCATGTCAGTGAGAGGCTGCGCGTGCAGGTGGAGTTGATGAACGCAGTTAGTTAAGGGAACCGCCATAGTCCCACCTGGCCGGGGTGCTCTGCCTCGCACCAGAGCTCCTTTCCGATCTACTTCTTGCCATTTCTTAACCAAAAAACGTAATCTATGAAAAAAAAAGAGACAAAACATTGAAAACTAGAGCAAAACAGGAGTGAAAAGAGCAATGAAAGTCCAACGTGACCAACAACTGGAATCAGAACGTGGGTGGACTCTGTTTCTTCATGGCCAACCCACACAGGGCAGCGATCTGATGACCTGACATCTGCAGCCCAGAACCTTCCTGCCCTGACCCCGCCTGACCCCCACTGACTGGCATCTGTCAGACTCCAGTTCAAAATGAGTCCGCAACACCCAGTCAGCGGGGAGCAAAACAGAGTCCCTTGCCCTCGTGCGTTTTCACTCAGATGGTGGGCGGGGATGTCAAGGTGAGGAGTGCCACATCAGGTGACGGGAGAGGCAGCCGTGTGGGGGGTCCTAGACCCCTCTCCTAGGATGGCCCCTCAAGTCCATCACGTCTGCAACTTCCCTCCTCCATGGCTTGGCAGACATCACAGATTCTCCAGATGAGCCCCATCCAGAGGAGGCCTCCCGGGCAGCCCCCCGGCCTCTGTGAGCCCCAGGGTCCTCCTGGAAAGCATTTTCTGCTTCATGCTAAAATTACGGCTGCAGTCAAATGACCTTCCCCCTTGACAGGAAGATGGGAGGCAGGGTATGGTCTGTTCACCTGTCCTCATCTGGGCATTCTCTCCAAAAATATAGGATGGACAGATCAATATACAGACAGACATGTGGGTGGATGGTGTGTGTTAGGGAGAACTCAGGGGTAAGGGGACTAATAAGTGCCCTGAGGCTGACAAGGCCGCCCCCTGAAACCGGGGCTTCTGCCCAGTTGGCTGCACTGGATGGGAACAGTGCTGGGTCTTTGAAAGGACTAGGACTCCCACCCGCTCTCTGCAGCACAGTCTGCCCCTCTGTGCCCGTTCCCACAGACAAAGGTAAGCATGGCCTGGAGAAGGCACCTCTATGGGCATCACGAAGCAGACAGAGCTGCACAATTCTTAGTGGGAAAACACTTTTAGAAATTCAGTGAATTTTACAATTATACAATAGAACGGATTTTTATGTGTTAATTTTGAAATGGTCAAAATTCCCAATCACACCAGGAAGTCACACCTTTGTTCCAAAACTGACGCTCTATGCAAATAACGGTTGAGGAGAGTGAGTGACGCCTGTGGATGGGGCAGATGGGCAGGGCTGGGCAGGCAGGCGCTTGGGGCAGGTCGGCATGGAGATTGGAGACAGAGGGCCCTGCACCCTGCAGCAGGCTCCTCCTCCCCTCCCCCAAGAGTGGGGGTTCACGGCCAGGTCCACGGGTGAAGACTGGAACACCCTTGCGCCATAAAAGGCCACCACCAGGTGGATCACGTATTCCTATGCACCTACCCCCTTTTATGTCACACAAATTTGACTAAAATACAAGAAACTGAAATTTGAAGGCGTGAAATGCAGTTTTAAACTTGGTCAGATGCGCCTGTCCTGGCGAGGGACCCCTTAGACCCATTAAGGGCACAGTGTTCTTTTCTGATAAAAAGGCATCCTTAAATCTTTTCCTTCTAGAAGACAATTTTACACATGCTTTCTTAAAGTCAAGCCTCATCTCTATCTTCTTTAAGGCCTCAATGTCATTCATCTTAAAACAGAAGACAACTGCAGAGATTCAAAGACTAAAACCACCACCACATGTCTCCCATTCACGAAGACGGTGGCAGTACATGTCTTAATGTTACCTGAATATTGCAATCACCACCCTGACTGCAGTTCGAAACTTTGTGAAAGGACGAGATGTGGTAACTTTCTTATCTGCTTTGGAAGGAAATACTCCCAAATGAGCAATCATGGAGAGTGTTTCTTGTTCAGAGTCCTGGAATCCACCAATCAACAGTAAAAGATACTTCTTTTGATAAATCAGAGCTTTTCTAAAGCTTTCTGCTCTCAAATAATGCAAGTACAATTTTTCCATCTAAAAGAAAAAAAAAGGTAAAACTTAATCATGGAGCCAAGACATCCTGCTGACAAACCTATTATAGCACGTGAGTGCTGATGTGCTTTACAAACAATCGGACTATTTTTTTCCTCAGCAAATTACCACGAAGTCAGCCCTGCATGATATCTGTAACCAGAGACAACCTTGCTGTTCAGAGTTCGACCTTGTTTATCAGACAAAATGGAGACCACAGATGTCCTTTCCACAGCATCGAATGGGCCCCTGTGAGGGCACCATGAATTTGACACTAAGTAAGGTCCAACTGGGAGCGGGATTGGGGGCTCATCACAGGTTCCATGGACATCACTGGGGTGAGGGGCAGGCTGTGGAAACCCCCTGAACTGTACCCAGAGGTTGGTCCCCATGTCCTAATAGGCAATTTCCCCTTAAGAGAGGGCCCACAGCTTGTATGTCATTATCAAAAATGACAACTTGGGGCTGGCCCGGCGGCGCAGCGGTTAAGTTCGCACATTCCGCTTCGGCGACCCAGGGTTCGCTGGTTTGGATCCCGGATGCAGACATGGCACCGCTTGGCAAGCCATGCTGTGGTAGGTGTCCCACATATAAAGTAGAGGAAGATGGGCATGGATGTTAGCTCAGGGCCAGTCTTCCTCAGCAAAAAGAGGAGGATTGGCGGCAGATGTTAGCTCAGGGCTAATCTTCCTCAAAAAAAAAAAAACAACAAAAAAAAGATGACTAGTGAATTGCTGGTCTAGGATTTTCTTCAGGCTGCAGACGATTATCTGATGACTCAAAGCATCACACGTTTCACTCAGGAGCACAGAAACGTATTTGTACACAACTAGACCAAGTTTCAAAGGAAAGGTTATTCTCTTTAACTTCCCTTATCTGAAATGACCTGACTGCTAGAACCAGCATGTCTTCTGCTAACAGGCACACATTTGACACATGTGTTGGCAACTATGTCCAGGCAGAGGAGAACCTCTAGGTCCTGACAATGCTGTTGCCTGCTACAATGAGCAAACCCAGGATTTTAAAAAGCGCCAGTTAGACAGCATGGGGGAGGGATGAACAGGAGAAGCACAGTGGATATTTAGGACAAATTACTCTGTATGATGGTAGAAAGGTGGACACGTCATTATACGTTTGTCCAAAACCACAGAACACACAACACGCAGAGCGAACCTAACGGAAACTGTGGACTCTGGGTGACAATGACGTGCCAATGCAGGTTTATGGACTGTAACAGGTGTACCACTCAGGGAAGATGTTGACAGTGGGGGAGGCTGCACATGTGTGGGGCAGGGGGTAAATGGGAAATGTCTATACCTTTCCTTTAATTTTGCTATGAACCTAAAACTGCTCTAAAAATATAAAGTCTTAAATAACAAGCACCAACTATACCACGCTCTATACACCTGACACAGGCCTCAGCTTAGCCTTACTTTGATGTTGCAGACTTTTGCTTCATCACTTGCAGCCGGCGTGGGCAGTCCTGGGTCTGGCTGTCGCGGTGAGCTCTGCAGGACCGTTCTGTCCTGCTTCCAGGCAGACCTGTCTGACTTCTGAAACAAACACAGACAGCGCCAGCTACAGAGTGATCTTTTATTTACTCATTTTTCATTGTATCACTTCAGGAGTGCATCATTGTATTTCTCCTTCTGTAGAGACTGCTTCACGCTCCTCACCAAGAGGAGTCTGGATGCCATCTGTCCTCGTACTCATATGCCCTTTGCCCCTTTCGCCCTCCCCCACTCCCCTGTCCTCTGATGACCACCAATCTACAGTTGTTCTTACATCAGAACATCTTAGGAAGAGTGGCTAAGAGTAGAGGAGGCTGGAGATGACTGCTCCCAACCCCAATGCCAAGGAGAAGGTCACATTCAAACACCTTGTTTCTTCCATGGCTGTTCCCCAGGACCTTTCCATTATGGGGCCCCATGGGTGGTAGGTAGCGCTGGGGGCTCTCAGGAGGCTGGGTCCATGTCTCCCGAATGCCAGGACACGACCATGCCTACGTCCACCTTCAGCATCTCTTCTGTGGTGCCCAAATTCTTACGTGATATCATGAAGCAGATAATTAACACTTTCGCAGCGATTATTAAATGCCATTTACTCAAGTAGGATTGCCCAAAGGGTACATTTTTATTAAAAACAAAAAAACAAGTATTTGTGAAATAACCCTGAATTGAAAGCTTTACTCTCATTAAACATCCTCATATTCCCTAGACCTAGAAATGCTAACTCCTGGCTCTGCTCTAGCACCATGAAATTACTCTCCTAGAAACTTCAGCGAGGGCTCCACACAGGAGCCACTCACGCCAAGGGACGGGCACCGTGCAGAGAGGCCATCATGACCAGGCAACAAGTTTGAACACATGCAGCATGGTCAGGACCCTACAGTGTGCAGAGGACCCCAGAGTTCCAGTGGGGAATACATTAATAGAAGGAGAAGGGTCCCACAGTGAGGGGAGCAAAGGTGCCACTCACAACAGATGACTAGGACCTGCCTGTCCCTGAAACCAAAGGGGGTTCAAAGCACTCGCTGGGGCCACATGGTCAGTGCCCTCAGTCCAGCAGTTAGGAAGAGAAATCAAAGGCATCCTGGTCATGCCAACCCACAAGCCCAGGGCACCACTGAGAGGAAGAAGGAGCCTGTGATCCAGGGTGTGTGTGTGTGTGTGTGTGTGTGTGTGTGTGTGTGTGTGTGTGTATGCATCTGTGTCTGTGTGTCTGTGTGTGTGTAACGGCTCTCCCGTGACCTCCTGGATGAGGCAGAAGGAAAGGACCAATGCTTCCCTGGTTCTAAAACACAGCTGGGTCATTTCTGGAAAGAAAAGCTCTAGGAATAGAAGTCATCTTGGACATGAGAGAGGAAATATTCCACCAGTTCACTCTCAGCCTACCTTTGATTTACTGATTAAAAATAGTTCCTTGTTAACTTTCATATAAAGAATAAAGGCGTTCTACTGGTGACTGCGCTTTCGTGCACACAGCCCAATGGGACTCCCTGAACAGGGAACCTCAACACACTTTCTAAGCAAGTTCCAGAGCAGCACACAGGGCTGTGAATTGACACTAATGGCAGCTCTTGTCAGGACAAAAAGGTGGAGCCTTGAAACCTTCTCACATCAAAGAATATAAGTCAAGAATATAAGTCTGCTTGTCCCTTTGCCTTACATACTAACAGAGTTCAAACAGACAAGGCACAGCTGAAAGAAGAACAGACAAATCCACGATTCCCTTCAGAGACAATACATACTCCTCTCTCAGAAACTGAAAGCACAAGCAGGAAGAGGCTGAGTGAGGTTACTGCAGAACTAATAACACCATCAGCCAACTGGATCTAACCAACTTCTACAGGATACTCACCCACCAACAGCAGAAACATCGAACCCATCATTGAAAACCTTCCAAGAAAGAAAACACTAGGACTAGATGGTTTCACTGATGCATTTTAACAAGTATTTAAGGAAAAAAATATAAATACCAGATCTACACAATCTCTTCCAGAAAACAAGAGGAAAGAACACATCCCAACTCATATAAAGGGAATCACACAACATACGGTCTTTTGTGACTGGCTTCTTTCACTAATAACATGTTTGAGGCTGATCCACACTGCAGCACGTATCAGTCCTTCAATCCTTTTCATTGCCGAATAATCATCTATTTATGGACATCTGGGTTATTTCCACTTTTGGGTTATGAGTGATAATAGTGACAGGAAAATCTGTGTGCCAGTTTTGATCTGGACACACATTTTCATTTCTCTGTGTAAATACCTAACAGAGGAACTGCTGGGTAAGACAGCAGCTCCGTGTTTAACCTTCTGAGGAAGTGCCAGACTGTTTGCCAAAGCAGCTGCACCATTTTATCTTCCCAATTCTTCCCACACTGAGATTATGTTAAATCTGTAGATCAATCAAAATAACCAGCAAGGGTTCTAAAATTTACACTAAAGGATAGAGCAACCAGAACCAAACAATTTTAAAAAGATGAAAAAACTGGGGCATTCCCACTGCTAGATTTGAAGATATAAAACTACATCAATCAGGCAGCTGGTAAAGCATAGACACATAAAACAGTGGAACAGAATAGAAAATGCAGATACATATACACAAATATTGTTGGTTGATTTTTGACATAGGTACAAAGACAATTCAAGGAGAAAGGACAATCTTTTCAACAAAGTGTGCCAGAATAACTGGATATCAACATGCATAAAAATAATCCTCAACCTATCCCTCAGACCATAAAAATTAACTATAAATGGATCATAGACCCAAACGTGAAAAGCAAAACTATAAAACTCTTGGCATGCTCCATAAAACAACAAACTGATACACAGACTTCATCAAAATTAAAAACTTTCGTTTTGCAAAGGATACTACACAGAAAAGTAGACAGGACATACTGGGAGAAAACATTTGCAAATCACATACGTGACAAAGGAGTTGAATCCAGAATATATAAAGAACTCTCAAAAGAATAAGAAAACAATCCAATTCAAAAATGGGCAAAACACTAACGAACACTTCACCAAAGAAGATACAGATACCACTTCATGTCTATCAGAATGCTAAAATAAAAAGAACTGACGACCCCAAATATGAAGATGCAGATTAACCGCAACTCTCACATCTTGCTGGAGGGAAAGCAAAACAGCACAGCTCCTGGAACACACTCTGGCAGCGCTGAGCACAGACGGAGCTCAGGGCCCAGCAGTTCGGCTCCTGGGCATTTACAACAGAGAAGTGAGACTTATGTCCACACAAAACCCTGCACACAGATGTTTATTGGAGCATTATTCATAACAGTCAAAAACTGGAAACATCCCAGAGAGCCTCCAGCAGGCAAATGGAACACTGCTCAGCAATAAAAAGGAATGAGCTATTGACACATCGATGCCCAGGACGGACTCAAATGCATTATCAAAAAAGTGAAGAGCCCTTCAAAAGGTTACACACTGTGTGATCCCAAGGACATGACATTCGGGATAAGACACATGACAGGGAAGGGGCTGAGTCAGAGCCTGCAGCAGCCAGGAACAGGGTGTTGGGGACAGGATGCTGGGGACAGGGTGCGGATGTATTGCTGTATACTCTGTTAACAGTGGTGGTGACGGCAAGCACAAGACTCTAAACGTGTATAAACTCAAATGACTTCACACGAACAACAGGCAGATTCTACCATATGTAAATTAAAAAATATTTTTTAAAAAGTTTTAATTTTAAAACAAGTAAAGAAAATCAGAAACAAAAAACAATTTAAATATAAAAAAAAATCAGGCATTTTAGGAAAAGAGTCTATCAAACTACACAGTCAAGAAAATTATAAATTAGACAGAAGTCAAATTAAATGCTAATTTCATCAGATCATTATATTCTTAATCACAATTTCCTTCCACGAACATCTGTCAAACACCATCTCACAGCAAGGATCACGTGTGAAAGCCTGTGTGTGGGTATCTGTGTTCGTGTCTGTGAACAGAGCAGAAAATTCGCTAAAATGTTAAATAAGATATTGTGGCCTTGAGGGAGGACAGAGCTCACAGCAGCTAACCAGGAAGAACGGACAGCAGTGCCCACGCCGTGAAGGCAGCCCGGCTCACGTCACCCCAGGCCCGTCGCCGGGCGCTGAGCCGTGACAGAGCAGCGTGACACCTACCCTCAGCGCACAGCCCTTGAGCAGGTGGTGCTTCAGGGTCTTTTCCAGGTGGGACACAGCCCTGCACAGCTCCGCCTTCTCCTGAGTCGCTGCACCGAGGGCTTTCGTAAGGGAGTCGTTATCTTTCAGCAAGACTTCTACCAGCTGGATCTGTAGCTCTGCTGTCATTTTTTTCTTAAAAAGAAAAAAACAAAAATAAACGTGTAAGAAATTTTTCTGTTAAAAGGCATGCACATTGCTTGCGGTTTTCATTGTTCATTACTTTCAGGGGTTATGATTTTACATGTGTTTGGGGTTCAGTGAGAAGCTTGTGGGGCCGGGCAGAGCTGACCATCTATGGGAGAGGAAACAATAAAAGCCATCAAACTACATTTCTCTTCAATCCTCCATGAAATAGACTTTGCACAAAACTGGGCTGTATGAGCAAAGTAAACCTGTACCAGAGCCCAGCCCTCTGTCTAACAACAATGCAAACAGGCAGCATGGACGTGGTGGCCAGGGGCATCATATGTTCATCCCTGAACACAGGGTCCAATGAATAAGCTGCTTAAAACAGAGGTGTCATTCCCACATCTGAGTAACATTCAGCCCACAGCAGGCGCGGGCCACCAAGGAAGGCAGTGCTGTGGTGCCCAACAGATAAGCAGGCAGGATACACCACACCAACTGATTACACTGGGCGAGTGGGGTCAGAGGGTGAGCAGGGTCAGAGTCGAGAGCATGGTCAGAGGGGAAGTGGGGTCAGAGTTAAGAGTGGGGTCAGAGTTGAGAGTGGGGTCAAAGAGAGCAAGCCAGTCAGCTCTCCTGCTGCCTAACACGTGTGCTGTTTTCACAGTAAACCTCATGATTTCATGACTGTCACAGAACATTTATCAGGAATTTTTATCAGCAACCAAGACTCCTAAACACCTTCAGATGCAGCTGCCAGGGGCTCAGAATTTCACAGGAGGCCTCAGGAATTCATCTCTGGCTCAGGCTCTCAACATGAGTGAGGAGGAAGAGGCTGGGCTGGAGCAGCCCTGGGGTGTCTGCCCTCCGAGCAGCACAGATCAGCACCCACCTGAGGGCACACCAGGCCTGTGGCAGCAGCAACAGAGAAAGTGCACATGAGTCCCTGACACCCACACAGGAGGAGGGGAGCCAGCAAAGTCACGCAGACTTCTAGGGGCGACACAGAGAGTCACCCATCCACATGTCACATGGGAGCCACCGGCTCACTCACCCACATGGCAAACTTTAAAACAGAAAAGGAGTTGAGGAAGGGAGGAACAAGCAGTCACAATAAAAGGAAACTCCACGACAGGGCAGGGTTGGGGGACCCGGGCAGTGGCCACGCCATCTCTCACCTGGGAGGAGCTGGACATGCTCAACTCAGACTTGAGTTCCTCTAACGTATGCAATAAAGATGTCACTGCTTTCTCATTTGATGTTGTCCAATTGCTAATTGTCCTGTAAAATAAATGAATGTTTAAAAGGTTCAGACAGATCCCATCTGACAGTTATCCAAAGACACAGAGAAAATCCATGCTGAAGAGATGAGAGGATGGGTCTGGACAGCCCCCAGGGAGAGTGAGGCATCCCCCAGGGTTCCAGAATGGCTGTTCATGGGCCACCGTGAACAGGCTTGTGCATTACTTCATTGAGCCGTGTTCTGTCCCCAGAGGGTGGGGCTGGGAGCCCCTCTACTGATGGTGGCAGGCGTGAGGCAGCGCAGCCCCAGGGTGGATGGTCTGTGAAGCCCAGAAACCTCCAGCTACTGACCAGTGAGCACCAAGGCTCCCTCAGCACTCAGGCCTCCTATAGCGGCTTTCTGTTGGGATTCTCTGTCGGTTGTTAAAATACTGTCCTAAATAAAGCTGGCTTAGAGGCCATGATGCTCCATGAATTAAACCCAATTACTGTGCAAACAGCAGGCCTGTATTTGCTGAAAAGGCAAACACTAATTTTTCTGTTCATACAAAACACCATGGGTCTTGGCTCCTCAACCACATGGACACATCCTGGTCACGTAAGCGGCAGTTCCAGGGCCTCGGGGAAGGCAGACACAGCACACCGTTGGCCACACGCCAGCGGCCCCTCTGGGTGGGGAACAATTGTAAAGGGACATGGGGAGAAGTGATCTAGAACAAACCTGGATTTTTTTCTCATATTAGAATGCAAAGAATACAATTTTGTCAACACCTTTCAGGAGAAAGCTGCCCGCTAATTCATCCAAACACATGGGAAAAGAGAGAGAGTCAGTTTCATTAAAACATGGACCTGAAATCAAAGACACGCTCAAACTTCAGAATTTTTCTTGCTACAGCAGGTGCATGATCACATGGTCCTAGTCAGTTCTAAGGAATTTACCTGTCTACAGTCTGGTTGATGAAGGTGGTCAGAAGCCCAGCAGCACAGAGCAGCTGCTGCCGAATCTTCTCCAGATCCTGCTGCTGCTCTCGGAGACGCTGGGACTCCGGGCAGAGGTGTGCGGCCTCCTTTGCCTCCAGCTCTCTCACCGTCTGCTGAAGCTGCGTGATCTTGTGCCCATCGCGCTGGCGCTGTAACTCCAATTCTCGCTGTTGTCAAGGGCAAGACCACAGAGAAGACTTTTGCACACGTTCCAGAGGCAGAAGACCATAGCCCAGCAGTGCACATGGGCATACCCCCCAGCACCAGGTCCCTGGGGGCGGGGGCTGCTCTACACACTGCCCTCCATCCAGACCCCTCAAACTAGGTCACCCAACACCCTCCACACCAGGGGTTTCGGGTGTAACATGGATCACTCCAGAGTTTCAGTGGTAAAGTTTTTATCTTTATTTCTGGAAACTATTAGGCTTTCACCAGGCCCAGGGTCGGCATGAGGGAAGAGGAGAGGAGCCTGCAACGCTGAGACAGGATGAAGCTTCGCAGGCCAAGTTCTGCTTCCCCACCCCCAACACACCCACACGTGCGTGCCAACACACGTGCACTCACACAAAACTTGCACACACATGCTGACGCACGGAGATAAGCACACAGGAACACGCTCCCACACATGAACACGCTCCCACACACGAACAGTCACTTGAACACACGCACACCGTCAAGCTGGGGCAGCCGAGTCACGGAAGGCCTCGACAAACGGAAACCTCCCCCCGTGTGAAATGCTCTTCACAACAGTGGTGCCTGGGAGAAACCAGCCGACAAGTGATAAGTGTGAGAAGGGCAGCAGGGGTGGGGAGAGTGCATGGCAGAGCCTCCACAGGTGAGGGGCCTCCTAGTGGGGAAATGAAGACGGAACAGGCAAGAGTCGTCCCCGTGACTGAAGTCACGCAGACAAGGCTCCACCATGTTGGGGAAAGAACCTCAGAAGCCAAGAACCCAGCTGAGCCTCCAACTAGGCGGCCTGTGCACAACACAGACCACGCGCTTTCTGGCTGTGCACCTTCTCAGGGATGCAGTTTACAGACTTGCCCTTGCTGACATCATCTCAGTTAATGCTCAGTTTTGTGAGGAAACAGGGACTGTTATTGATCTATTTTCCGGATGGAGAAAGTAAGACACGAGGGGACTGACAAGTTTATTTTGTTTAGAAAAGATGAAACTGGCCCTGAAATGACTACCTTGGGAGGTCTCGGCCACTATGACTAGAAAATGATTGTAGAATCCTGAACAAATTAACCGTCTACAGTAAAAATAACACCAAAAGGGCTACATCACTTAAAAACACATATCAAGGTGCATCATGAAGAATAGTTATTAATTTAACTTAGAAAACATTTTCTTTGTCTTTATGTTTTTAAGCAATCAAGTTACCACTCATTTTTACCAAAAAAACCCCAAAATTAAATAAAAGGGTTTGTCTGAAAACTTTCTATATGGTTTGGGGAAGTCCTCTGAGAAGAACATGAAGGCTACCAGACCCCTCTTCCCAAAGGAAAAAAGGCCAACACACACACACGCGCACACACACACACAAGCTTGAACACATTCTGGGGGTCCTGAATCACCAAGGCCCACGCAGGAGCTTGATTCTACTCGCCTCCTTCACATACCAACTTGGGACCCCTTCCGGCCACACTCTGCTCACTCTGTCACCTCCAAACTATTCTTCCACTTTCCAAGATTGCTGGTGACAAAACACTAGGATTTTTAAGGTTGTTTACCAGAGCAAAAAGTATCAATCATTGCTGACACAAGCTACAATGTGGATGAACCTCAAAAACACCACAAAAAAAGCCAGACACAAAAGGCACTAGAGCGCATAATTCCATTTATGTGAAATGTCTGGAATAGGCAAATCCACAGAAACAGAAGGTAGATTAGTAGTTACTGGGGGCTGAAGAGGGAAATGGAGGGTATGGGGTTCTGTTTTGGGGTGATGAACATGTTCTGAAATTGCCTAGCGATGGCTGCACAACTCTTTGAATATACCAAAAAACACTGAATTGTGCAATTTAAATTGGTGAACTCCACAGTGTACAAACTGTATCTCCACAAAGCTGTTAAAAAATAGTACTCACATCCCTCATACAAACTTACAAAACTAATCTTATAGCATTTTGGAATCTGACTTATCCTTGTAACATTTAGAAACCTAGAGTTTCATTCTTAGAAACACACACACTTCTCGACGACTTCATGGCAAGCTAACCACTACAAAGACCAGGCCATTTGTTTTCCTTGGGTGTTTTAAAAAACTTTTTATAATTTCACAAAAAACAAAACAGAAAGAGCGAAGGTATTTTAAGGTTTTTAAAAACATTTTTCAAGAGGGGAAAATATCAATCCATGAGAAGACACAGGACATAATCTTCTCAGAAACAAAGGCTTCTGGTTTACATAAATAAGGCTCATGCAAAAAATAAAAGAGCGAACACTTCCCAATCCAACCTGTGAGGCCAAAACCATCCTGATATCAAAATCAGACATGTCACAAGAAAAGAAAACTACAGACAAATATCCCTTATGAACATAGATGTAAAATCCTTAACAAAATACTAGCAAACTGAATCTAGCACTACACAAAAAAGAACTACACACCAAAACCAAGTGTCATGCATCCCAAGAATGCAAGGATGGCCCAACATGTGAAAATCAACATTATACCCAAATCAAGAGAACAAAGGACAAAAACCACAGATCTCAAAAGATCACTGAAAAGGCAAATTCAATGCTGTCTCATGATTAAAGATAAAAAAATGTTGAATAAACTAGGAATAGAAAAGAATTTCCTCTGATAAAGGGCATCTACAAAAGTCCCACAGCTACCATCACACTTAACTGTGAAAGACTGAAAGCTTCCCTTAAAATCGTTAACAAGACCAGGATGTCACCTCCCCACTTTCATTCAACGCTGCACTGTAAGTTCCAGCCACGGCAGCTACTCAAGAGGAAACAAAAGGCATCCAGATGGGAAAGGAAGAATCAAACTACGTCTATTTGTAGACGGTATGATCTTGTACATGGAACATCCCAAGGAATCCATTAAAAAAATATTGGAACTAATAAACAAGTTTAGCAAGGCTGCAGAATACAAGATCAATATATAAAAATCAACTGTATACACTAGCAATGAACAATCTGAAAATGAAATTAAAAAAATAACTCCATTTACAACAGCATCAAAAAATAATAAAATATTTAGGAATAGATTTAACAAAAGAAGTGCAAAGCTTGTCACCTGAAAGCAACAAAACAATCTTGAACAAGAACAAAGTTGGATGACTCACACTTCCTCATTTTGACCCTGCTACAAAGGGTAGCAACTGGAGTGTGCAGCGTGAAGAGACACACACAGCCAACAAGTCAGAACGGAGCCTGAACAAACCCCACGTCACACGGGACTGTGCTAACCCTCCGATGGCAATGCTGCTAAGGGCTGATATCTGGCTGACGGCGGCTCTCACCAGTCTCTCCTTGTCTCTCTGCCGCTGCTCCCATTTCTCCGCATCTGCTTGGCTCTGCCTCGTCTCTGCTCTTCTCCTCGTGGCCTTGCGTCCTTCTTGGTCTGCCACTCCCGCGTGTAACTGTTCTAACTCTGTCTGCAGCCATGCTGGCTTCTCCCCCTCTCTCTCCAGATAACATCTCAGCTGTGATTTTGGGGTCTGCAGGGCCTCCACAGTGGATCTCAGCGAGACACTTACCTCCTTCTCTTTCTGCAGCTCCTGACAGCGCTTATGAACTTCGGCCTCCAGCTGCCGCTGAGAGCGCATGGCTTGCTGCTGCACCTTCTCAAGCATTGCTTGCAGTTCCACCACACGGGCCTTCTCGTCCTTCAGCTTCCGCAGCAAAGCGTGATGCACCTGGGTCTCCTGGTGAGCACAGGCCTCCTGTGTTCTCCGGCTCAGCTGCTCCGTCAGGAGGCGCTCGTGCTGTAAGGCCTCAGACAGCTCCAGCGAGCGGCCCTTCTCGACCTCCAGGCTCCTCTGCAGCTCGGAGAGCTGGCTCCGCTCCTGCGCCAACAGCGCCTCACAGCGCGAGTACTCGATCTGCAGCTCCTTCTGAAGGTTGTCCTTTGCTGTTTGCTCATGTTTTAATGCAACACACAGTCGATTACTCTGAGCATATTGCTTCTCCAAAGATATTCTTAACTCCTATATCGGGGGAAAATAAAATCAAGAAGAAAAGTATCTAAATAGTTTTCCTGCCCAAGTTTCCAAGCAATTACACCTTTTGAAATTTATCCTATGGATAAAAGAAGTATGATCATTATTTTTTTAATCATGGATGAAATACTTTTTTGAAAGAAGCATTGAGTAAATGCACATACACATCCTGGCTTCATTCTCCTTCCTTAGAATCACAACACGCAGGACACTCAAGAGCATATACATCCCGCACTGAACCTTGGTCTCTGTGCTGCTGAAGAAGCTTCACCCTCACCATGAACCGATGGTCAGCTGGTTCAGGACTACAGAGCACCTGCCAGACAAGCAGTCACATCACAGCCTCCACCCAGATGGAAGCCAGGTCACCACCATGTATCCCGTGTGACCCAGGATAAACGTGAGGCTGCGCTCTGTGCAGGCGGGCAGCAGGGAGGCTGCATGCACCTTACAGAACCAAACGCTCAGAGACGATGAGAGTTGCGTGCCCGTCACGCTGTCTGTCACCACAAAGATACTATTATACCTGAAGATACAGCACTTGCTCACTGCCTCAAATCCTGTCACCTGGGCACACCATCACAGACAAGAATAATGGGCACGGAAGAGGACAACTGCTTCCTGGTTCTAGTCGCTACTAGCTGGGATGCGTGACCCGGGGCCCAGCCCTGCTGCCCAGTCACCTCCAGGGTCTTGGAGCTCTGGCCTTCCCTCTGCAGGTGCTGCAGCTGCTCCTCCTCCAGCTGGCTCTGCAGGGCACGCTCCTTCATGCGCTCGCTCTCCAGCTCCTGGAGCACGGCCTTCAGGTCGTTCTCCTTACTGTCCAGCACAGACCTGTGTGGGGAGACAGGCCGCCACACCCACGTCACAGAATGCTCGGAAAGGGAGGCCAGCACCCGGGGGCCAGGGGCTCCCAGGATGGGGAGGGCAGAGCCCTGTTGCCTCCTCGTGACCTGCACAAGTGCTCAATCCCTCCTTCCCACTTTATTAACCCACGGGACCCGGTGCTCTTCTCTAACGTCCATTAAAACACCCGGCACACCAGAGGCTCCCTTTTACCTCAACACCAAGAAGAATGTGGCAAGAACTACGTAACTCCCATTAGTTATTCAACACAAAGTCTGATGACCATGCAGGGGCAAGAAGGAGCTGCGTGTTGGTGACAGGCCATGGCCCGTACCTCAGCTGCAGGACCTCCTTCTGCACATCGTTGAGGGATGCTAACAGCCTCTCGTTGTCCTGCTTACACTCAGAGAGCTCAGATTTCAAATCTCTGACTGCATTCTGTTCCACCACCAGGAGCTTCCGAACATCGTTTGCTTTTTCTTGCTCTTCATTCAGGGTTTTCTGCAGGTCACTTGCTATACATTTCTCCTGTTCAACCTTATATGCCAGTAACTCAACTAAGAAAGAGATTAAAGAACATAAAATAGCATTATTCATGAGTCCAAAGTGGGCCTACGAATGATTCAACAAATTAAAAGCAAACTAGTCAAGGGATGTGGATGTATTCATTTTGGGGGAAATGAAGTTTTGAGGACCTAGAGCCACTATTTCTGACAGAGTCAGGACAGTTGGGGACATGTTTCTTCACTGGCTTGGCGCCAGCTTCTCCATCAGGCACAGCACCAGGCCTTGCCCTCTTGGCTGGGGAGCACCCAGAGACACACAGGCAGAGAGTGGGCATGACCCATAGTGGCTGCATAGGCTACAGGACATGATGTGGCTCCCCAGGGGTAGCTTCTCAGGTCAGGGTGTCCCCAAAGGCAGAGTTCGGAGCTGGGACAAGATGGACCAGCAAATCCGAGGCCACTCAGAGCCCATCCTGCGTGGTGCGGGGACACCAGATGTGACCACCCCCAGAGTCATCCTAGAACGTCAGCCCACTCGCCACTGCTATGCTTAATAGCACCTGACAGAGACAACTCCAGCCCAGACAGCTTCACTGGAGAATTCTTCCAAGACTTAAGGGAAAAATAAACCCGGTTCTATACAAACTCTTCTGGAAAGCCAAAGGGGAGGAGACACATGCCAGTCCATCACGAGGCTGGTGATACTCCAACACTAAAAGCAAAAGAAAACTAGAGACCAGTATCCCTCATGAAAACAGGTGCAAAATGTGAGTAAATCTAGTCCAGACATGTACAGAGGACAACAGACTAAGCAGGGTCCTGGCACGAACACAAGGCTGCTCACTGGACAGAACTGGTCCATCCTTCAGCATCCAAACTAGGAAGAGAAGCAGTTGCTAGAGCAACAGAGAGCATCTGTGAAGATGCCATATTGAAGGGGAACAGGTGGAGCACGTCCCCATGGCTGGAGCAGGCTGGACATCTGCCGTGGGCTCTAGTCACCGTCAAGCTCAAGGGCCGTACCAGTGTGACTGGCAAGAAAAGGAGGCCGATGGGAAAGGGAAACATACAGTGTTTCTTACTCACAGATGACGTGAGTGTCTATAAAAATCCCCCAAAATCTAACTTAAATGTAGAAACCCATAATAGGTTGCTGAAGCTTAGTGGGAGCTCCAGAGACTCTCCCAGACATGGTCCTGCTGGTGCCCAGCACCCTTGCATCCACGCAGGCTCCCCTCATCCGCTGGGACCCTTGGCAAGGCCTCCACCCTGGCGGGGGCCCCTTCTCCACCCTGATGGGCCTCTCAGGGTCATTTTTACTCAGAGTTCTATGAACCCAGCCAGTGTTCTAACGCCGAGGCCGCCTGCTGCTGCAGCCGGGGACCTGGAGAGACCAAGACACCACTCCTGCCACCAGATCCAGCACTGGGTGCGGGAGGGGCTCGTGAACCTGTGTGCCACCTTACCCATAGGGGGACATCAGGTGGGCATGTTTCTCAGGGCTGGGACACAAGGGGCAGCACCCACCCTGCCTGCGCAGCTGGTGCTCCTGCTGGCTCCCTCGGGCCTCCACGCTGGTCAGAGCTGTGCACAGCTGCTGCAGCTTCTCCTGGTTCTGCAGGTGCGTCAGCCGCAGCTGGGCGCGCAGAGCCTGGATCTCTGACAGCAAGCTGCTCCTGTCAGACAGGCGCAGGTGCTCTAAGGACTTCTCCTGCAGGTCTCCCTGGGGGCAGGTGGGTGGAGGAAGAAGAGCAGAGTCAGACGGAACTTCACAGCCCCACAGAGGGCTCTGCCAGGGAGGAGTGCCCACCCAAATGGGAAAACGGGATGAGAAGCAAGCACACCCGGAGGGCTGGCGAAGGGCAGGCCAGTCAGGGTGCTGGTGGCTCCAGGGACAAGCGGCCCACCCTCTGCAAACTTGCGCCTTCAGCTTCACCGGTACAAGCATGGTGATTCTGAGTCTAGTCCCTGACCGGGGCTGAGAACGAACTCGCAGGAGGACACTCATGCAAATGCGTGGTGTGGGATGCGGACACAGTGGCCCCTGGGGACCCTCTGCTCCCACACACCTCTGCTCCAAGGCACCTTGGTCTTGCTTCCTGGGCCTTGCCTATGCCCGGGGGCACTCTGACCGCTGTAGACCCTCTGTCTGGACTTAGGAGGGAACCGGTGGAAACAAGACTCCCAGGGCACTCGCAGCACTGACACCCTCCAACCTGAGCTCAGTGCTCAGAATCTTGGCTGGGACGCTTAGAATTGCTCTTTGGCTTTCAACTAAAGGCAAGTTATTTCCAGAACAGACTGTGGTTGTAAAGAAAGATAAACGCGTAGAATTTTCCAGTTTATGGAATTTACGTGTAAAAATGCAGTGTTAGACTTGGACTGAAGCAGAATTTCCTCCTCAGTCACTGCCATGTTCTGAGGTCGAGCGCAACGTGGAAACCAAAATTCATATCAGAAGCAGGCTCTGTCACTCTCTCTACCAGTGGGGGCTCCAGGGTGCGAATGGAGGCAGTGCTCACCTGCTCTTGGACCACCTTCTCCAGCCTCTCCAACAGGCAGCTGCAGTCCCTGGGATCAGAGTCACCGACTCGGGGCTGCAGCTCAACTTTAAGCATCTCCCGTTCTTTTTCAAAGGCCTCCTGGATGACTCGCAGAAATTCTCCTCTCCAGTCAAGACACACATCGGCAGGTTCCTAAAATATTGGAACAAGGAGCTTGGTGTTCTTACAAATGCATCCTGCAGGTTAAACAGAAACCACCTGACACACCCATGACCATCCAGAGGCAAGGCGAGCCAAGGCTGCCATTGCAAGCAGAGAAATTACTGAAGAAGACGGTAAAATGAGATGGAGCAACATCGGCTCCCGCCACTGCACGGGGCCCTGGGTCTAGGGAAGGCTCAAGGCTGTAAGTGGCACCGGAGCACGTGCCTGCACGGGGCTGGCTACCCTCTGGCCACCTGCTCTGAGCCGCCCACCTGCTTCCCTTGCAGGGTGGGGAAGCCTGGGCCACCCTCAGGGTCTTGCCCACTGCTCCCTCCACACCCTGTGGCCAGTTGGTCCCCGTGGGTTCAGCTTGTGGCCCTTGCCTCCACACTGCCTCTCTCTCAGCCGCCCTGGCTCCTTGGCCACAGAGTAGAGGCCGAGACCCTGTGGGCTCAGGCCCGACCCCTACACCCAGCTCCCCACTATGTGCCCCCAGCAGAGCTCTGCCATGCCCCCTCCTGCCCTGACTGGACCTAGAAGGTGCTGGCGCGGGGATGGTGCCCAGCGACTGTGAGTGAGGGGGTGCCTCCTGCCCACTGCGGACCCACCTCTGGTTCCCTCATTCTCACTTATTTGGCCGAGCAAGTCCCTCAAATTGGTCCATGCCCACTGCTCTTCTTTCACACGGAACACATCTGTACCTTCTCTCCCTTTTGGGGTGCTGGGGTCGGATGCCCCCTCAAAGCCGGCACTGCCTCCAATGGGCCCTGGCCTTCCCGTGGAAAGCACTCAAGGGGGGCGCAGTGGGGCCCACGGTATTCGGACAAGGCCAATATGTGGTAGCTCTCGTCACACACCATCTGCAGCAAGGCCTGCAAGGGGACAGCATTTCAGAAAGAAGGAACAGCAGCTTGAAACCACTCATCCACTTGCTGACCTGCCACAACCCAGCAGCGCTCCCTGGCCGTGTGCATGGTGCCCGAATGGCTCCATGCCACAGAGCAGAGCCTGCTGTTGTAATGCGAGGCTTCCAGATGTTCCTCCTCCACAACGTTCAGAGACCCCTGGAAACTGGTTTTGAAAGATTGAACTTCTGTGTAAACTACACCAAGGATGGCCCCACCTGCTCCCTCATGGTGGACACTGACCCTCCCCTCAGCCTGGGTGAAGCTCAGGGCAGGGCCTCGGGCCTCCTTCAGTGCCAGGTCATGAAGACACCACGCACCACGCTGGCTCTCCTGGGCCCACAGCTGCCACGCTACAAGGAAGCCCAGGGAGCCGCATGGGAGGCCTGTGCAAGGCCTTGGGGAGGAGGTACCTGCAGATGGCACCAGGCCAGCTACTGACCACTCCAGCCCTCCAGTGGTCGCAGTGGGGCCCAGACATGGGCAGCAGAGAAGCAGTGGCCAAGGCGCCCTGTGGGAATCCCTGCCCGTGGGGTTTGTGAGCACAGGAACGGATCCTTTGCACTACGGGGGACTTGGAGTGTAGTTACAAACCAATGGGAATCAGGACATGCATGCCGGCCATCTGTGCCCTGCCCACGGGGGCTAAGAGAGCATGGTGGCAGCTTCCCCAGAACTATCCTCACGGGGGAGCTGGTGCTACAACACATACAGAGTCCAAAGGAACTGCAATTGTCCTCACCCTATCTGCAAAGACTTGCTCAAGGGGCACGTTAGGCTTAAAACTCTGAGGAAAAACAAAACAACTAATAAATGTCCCAAACAGGGAAATGTAAAAAGAGCAATGAAGAGCCCTATGATAGAATCTAATTAGCTAACTAGAAATAGGTTTTGCTGTAATTCTAATTATGGATCAATAAAAGCAAAATATTAAAAGTGCTAGAAACCAAACTACATATTATGTTTAATTATCTTTAACAATCTAAAACAATTTCACTTTAAAAACAATTTGTTTGATATAAAATGGATGCAAATTACAGCCCCTGTGTGTATGGAGGAACAGAGATCAGGTAGGGCAGGCGGGAGCAGGTCGCAGGTGAGACCACAGGCCCTGCCTCCCCATTGCACCTGCTGCCCGTCCTCTGTCCAGAGAGGGCCGACGGGAAAAATGAGGGAAAGCAGGAATGCTCTTGCTGCAATGATGGCCACTGTCTAGTCTTTAAATAGAAACATCAAAGCCTAAGTATAAAGAATTATGATTAACCACCAAATTTATTCCTTAAAAATTAGGATTTCTTCTACTATTAGGTTGCTTATATTGGAAACACTAACAGAAACATTGTCTTTGATATTTTATGTCATGTAAAAAATTGAGAAATGCAAAACAATTTTTTTAAGCTAGAAAAATATTACTCCAATTTCAATTCTTAAAGGAGTAAGATAAAGTTTTATTCTGAACACAATTTCAGAGGTTTTACTTAAAATTGTTTGCTTGGGAATACTTGTACTATTTGCTCACGATAGTGGCACTACATCATTTACTTATTCAGCCAAATGTATGTCAATGCTTTTGCCATAAAACGATTTGCCAAAGTGGGAAGAGAAAAGAAAACCTATACAAAGTTCCACAAAGACTCTGCCTTCTGGGTGGGGGAGGTGAACTACCCACGTGGTGGTAAGTGTTTCATAATATACACGTTACTGATAATCACGTTGTGTACTTTAAACTTATACAACGTCATATGTCAGTTAAAGCTGGGAAAATTTTTTATTTTATTTTATTTTTTTAAGAAAGATTAGCCCTGAGCTAACATCTGCCGCCAATCCTCCTCTTTTTGCTGAGGAAGACTGGCCCTGAGCTAACCTCCCTGCCCATCTTCCTCTACTTTATATGTGGGACGCCTACCACAGCATGGCTTGCCAAGCGGTGCCATGTCTGCACCCGGGATCTGAACCAGGGAACCCTGGGGCACCAAAGTGGAACGTGTGAACTTAGCTGTGCCACTGGGCTGCCCCCGGAAAATTGTTTTTTTAATTCTGCCTTCCAAGTTAAATTCCAGGATGCTGCGTGTGGCATCCCTCCTCCTTTGTCCGAGGAGAGGCCAGCTCCAATACCACAGCGCCCACAGCCTCAGCTCCTCCAGGACTGCAGCATGACAGTCAACGGCAACCTGCTCTGTGACCCAGGAGAGGGCCACGAGCTCCAGGCACCTGGGCCACAGGAGCCCAGCCCTTCAGGAGGGCTGAGGGCAAGCTGTATGGTGGCCAGGCGATCACATCTGCCAAAGAGGGGAGGGAGGGTCTTCTTGGGGGCTTGGGGGATGTGCTTCTCGAAAAGAGGCTCAGAAGAAGCATCGGGCCCGTCCCCGTGAGACACCCAGCAATGCCGCAGCCTTCCTGCCACCTGAGGACAGCCAGCCGATGGCAGAAGGGAGGAACGAGTGAGCATGGGCACGCTGTGCCATGCCGGGTGTGCACCTGGAGCCACCCCGCCCAGAAACTTTTGGCCTGGACCAGTAATACGTGCTGTGCCATTTGAGCTGGCTGGGTCAGGGCTGAGACTGCCCGTCAAAATCTCCCAGGTCACTGTACAAGCCGAGCAAGACAGTCTTCCTTCTCAAGGGCCAACTTAAGGAAATGTAAAGGGCAAGGAACCAGAACCATCTGCTAAACAGACTCTGGAAGGCACCTCTTGAGCAGCACACTCTGACAGCGAGGCTGGGCGGGGTCGCCGATGTGACCCCACAGCCAGGCGCCTACAGAGTAGTGACCCTGCCACCTTGACACGCACCGTTCTCTGTGCTCTGCGGGTGGCAGTTGACATTCGTGGTGGCCACTTGCCTGTACGTAGGGGCTTGGCAGGGCAGCCCTGGTCCCAAGCACACCCCTAAGTCAGCTCAGGAAAGGCCAAAGGCCAATCTCCAGAATAAATGTCAAACCACGATCCCTTCCCAAACGAGGGTCAGGGGTTCTGACACCTGAACTAGCATCGAGACAATTAAGTCCAGCCTTGCTGTTCAGGATTCACTACAGCACCTGCGCCTGCAGACCACGCACTGGGCTCTGATGGGCACCGCTGGAAGAGCTGGTCACCCCCTCGGGGACCGCCGTGCCTCAGGCTTCCGCGGCCCCCACAGGCCTGCTGTGCCAGGGTGTCACTGGGACCCCTGTCTCCTCACAACAGCAGCTTACCTCCTTCCAGAGACACTCACGTAAGGCACGAAGTTAGAGCAGAGCTGCAGCAGATGGAGCTGTGCGAGCAGAGCGTGACTATCATGCAACACGACCCACACCCACGGTGCGGTTTTAAGTAGGCCAGAGACAGAGGCCCATAGACACAGCTTGCCCTGCTCCCTGTTGGCCATTACCTTCACTTGCTTCGGGTGGACTTCCTTCTCCCTCATGGCTTCTAGTGGCCGTCGGAACCTTCTAGAGGCAGGAGGAGGCACTGGAGGACCAGCAGTGGGAGTTTTGAGTCTTTCTGAACCTTGGTTTAGGATCTCTCCAAACCCTGAGCCATCACCTAAAAACAGCACAAAGTCAGGTCCAAAATTGCAATTCTCCCAGGGTATGCTCTGCAAAGAGCAGTGGGGGCGGTCAGATCCCTGCTTCCCAGGCAAGCACGGCCCTGAGATGCCCAGGAGAGCTACGGCTGTGGCTCCTCTCACTGAAGAAAATATCAGTGAACCACCAAAGACGGCAAAAATACTTTTATAAAAAATGCAAGATGAGAACTACACACATTAAGAAAATGAATATTTTGCATGTTTAATACATTAACATCCATGATTTGAACATAAAACTACAGATCTCAGTTCACTCTCAGAGACGACTATACAGAGTGACTGCCTTGAGAAGGATGTGCACGGGGCCTGTGCTCTCCAAACTCAAGGAAGGGACGAAGACGGGCCCAAACCCATGAGGATGGGGAGAGGAGGCAGCAGGGAGAGGAGGTGGAAGATGCTGACCGCGAGGGCAGGCTGGGAGCAGCTGGACCAGCAGTGGACGGCTGGTCAGGGAAAGGGAAACAGACCTGATGTGGGGGTAGGAAGAAAAGCTGCAAAACCAGGCAGCCCGGGCTGCGGAATTCTAAACTGGGCTAGAATCTGAGACTCCGGGAACCTCTGTCTGACGGAAGGGGCCTCAAAACAGAACTCAACCCTCTCAGAAGCATGCAGGCCCTCGATCCTTTCCCAGCCCTGCAGCCCAGGCCAGTCCAGGAAGGCTTGTGAGCACAGGCTCTGGAAGTCAGAGGGAGATGCCCTGGGGATGCACAGGAGCAGACCTTCCCGCTGCTGCTCCCCACCTGCACCCAGCTCAGGAAAGGGAGGGAGGACTTGGGGGGCTGATGGCAAGGCCCCTCTGAGCACAGAGCATCTAGCGAGCCATTTATGACCACCCTGAAAAGTGGTCTAAGCACTCAAATGTGCCGAGGAACATTCACACATGAGACAGAGCGAGCAAGCGAGCCCTGGAGACAGGAGTCACGGCAGTAGACAGAGCAAGTCTGAGAAAAACCGTGAGATCTTCAGAGAAAATCGCAGAAGAGCATCACTTACCAGCCAAGGAAGGGGAGCTGTAAGAGAAAGAAGCAGGGAGAGAAGATGAAGAACTCTTGGAAATTAAAATAGAGCAGAGGGAGCCAGCCCAGTGGCGTAGTGGTTAAGTTCATGTGCTACACTTTGGCGGCCTGGGGTTCGCAAGTTGGGATGCTAGGTGCAGACGTGAACACTGCTCATCAAGCCATGCTGTGGCGGCATCCCACATACAACATAAAGGAAGATTGGCACAGATGTTAGCTCAGGGACAATCTTCCTCACCAAAAAAAAAACCAAAGGAAGAAAAAAAATAAAACAGAGCAAAAATAAGAACATTTGATACAAAGCTTAAGAAGTAAAGTTCTAAAGAATCTCTTAGAAATAAGAACAAAAATATAGAGAAGTGGAAAAAGAGAAAATAAGAAAATTAGTCCAGGAGGTCCAATATGTGACTGACAAGAATTACAGAAAGACAAGCAATAACCATGAGGGAATGACCACAGGAATAATGAGGAGTCTCTCCAGGTGGAAGGAAGCTCCCGGTGACCAGCAGGGCTGTGTCCACACCAAGGCGCTGGCACCATGGGGCATGTGGAGGTCTCTCGCAACACAGGGTCAGGACAGCGGCCGGCGCTTGGTGTTCTGAAGGAACGAGACTTCTCACACAGGAGTCCACACCAAGCCCAAACTATCAATAAACACCAGCAAGACCCAAAAGTTCTCAAAAAAAACCCATCTCCTGCATGTTTTTTCTCCATAAGCTTCGAGAGAACATGCTTAACTAAATTAAGGGCCATCAAGGAGGGAGAAGGGGTCCCACATGGAAAGTGAGGATGGCGCACAGCCACAATCAGGCACAGTGTGGGGAGGCCGGTGACAGGGACCATGGAGGAGGCCCAGAGAAAGGGGAGTGGAAGCCATGCGAGAGAGGTCACACACACTCAGTGGCTCCTCGAGAGTCAAGACATATGTCCCCAGAATGCAAACGCTCAGCGATGATGGGACAGAAAGTGAAGACGGGGAAGGGACACATGGAGTTTGCCACCGGGAAGTTCAAACATATTATTTTCACTGGCAAATATGATTTGAAAATAAATACTAGAACACATTTCTGAAAGTTGGATGTGGATGTCCTCAGGGACTGGCAATTTGGAGAGAGGACACTGGACTAAGGCTGCTCCTGGAATACACCCTGCAGAACCGCCCAAATCCTTAACTCACACGCTTACTACCTGGAGTGAACAAAAACTAAAATTAAAATGTTGCTGGCCCTATTCTGCAAATGTTGAAATTGCCAAAGAACTGTAGCTTACTATGGTTTTGCTCTCAAAAGCACTAAATGAGCCAATGATGAAATTTTTTTAAAAAGTTAAAACACCTCAAGAAGTGACTGACTAACTTGTAAAAAGCTAACAATTGTAGAAGAAATTAGGAAGTTAAAAACCAGTTTGGCATCATGACAATGACCCAGGCAGGAACCACCACAAATGCTAAAGCACGAGAAACAGAACCTCTGCATGGTCTCCAAGTACCTCCCCCAGGACACAGAGCCACTAAAGACGAAAAAATGAGAATAAACCTGGCAGACACGGCTGCCCAGGTCCCAACCGACATGACACGCTGGTGCTGTGATGCCCTGGGGAGAACAAGGCATTGTTACGTGCACTCGCAGAGACACACAAGATGCACTCATGCAGACCACCTTGCTACAGACGCCCAACGGAAGATGCAGGATCGCCTGAAATGTATGGAGGCGCCCCTTGCGGTCCATAGGGCATGGCCTCCCAGCCTGAACTCTGTGCCAGGCACCTGGCCTGCCTCTGACCAGTCTCTGCTCTACAGATATCTGAATGCATCATGCCAGCTGGTGTTCTTTTCTGTAAAGGGTGCTAATGGGACAACTAGCAAAATCTAAGTGAGGTCTGCAGACGAGACACTGCCTTGGGTCAGTTTGCACGTCCTGGTGTCAAGTGCAGTGCCATGAACTAGACTTCATGAAAGGCACAATGACATTCCCAGGAGTAAGACGACATCAGGTCTGTAAGTAACACTCAGAGTGTAACCCCAGGGAGAAACAGAGAGAGACAGCAAGAGCATGCACAAGCAAACATGGTAAACGCTAACAATGGGGGGTCTGTGTGAGGGTGTGCAGGAATTCTTGTGCGATTCTGGATCTGAAACTGCAAAAATAAAAAGTTTAAACAAAGATGACCGACTCACTATTTTCACTTCCATCGCTTCTTCCTTCTAACCCAAGAGGAGGTGATCCGGACTTTTCTTGAGAATCAAGAGATGTTATGATAAAATCTTCAACATCCTTCTCCTGCTCAAATAGGGAGATTTTTAAATGGTCAAAAAATAACAACTTATTACATCATGGAGTTGAACTGGCCAGATGGAAACTTTCTAAGGCCTGAATTTACTATCTTCCCACATGGAACCTAAACAAAAGTGTGCACAGCCTGTGGACAAACTAAGGTCATATGCTTCTAATAATTTAATCAAATTCATCCACGGTACTCTAGGAATATATTAAAGAAGTCACTAACAAGTATTTCAGATTAAAAAAATTCTGCATAAAATGGTGGTATATGGGTACCCCAAATCAGCCATCTCTCTAATTTAATTTTTACTTTAATCCAAGACACATAAAATCTCAAAATTATGATAAAATATAACTCAAAAATAATAAACTGAAATATTGAAATTAATGAACATTATGTCTGGAACCTATTAAATATGAAATACAACTGAAAGTAAATCTAAAAAACATATTCCAGATAAAGAACCCATATGCAAACTACACACAAAGATGGGCTTATGACTGTACTTCTCAAAGTCAGCGTTAGTTAAGAAACTGAGGCCCAGGGTGAATTTCCAAGTAGGACTAATGCACCTCATATATTTTAAAAAAATAAATGAAGTACTCTAGATATGCATATTACAACAGATTCGGGTTAGTCCTGCAGGAAGGTGACCATCCCACACACAGCTGACCAGGGCACGGTCAGGTGCTCACCCGTGCCCAGCCTACAGGCCCTGTCAGGAGGTGAACCAACAATGGCTACAGCTGTGATACCCCGGGCCAGGCAGACACATCTCCATGGGAACACAGTGGGGCCTTGGGCATCCCATGGACACCAAACCAGCACCCGGGGTGAACACTTACCACAGCTGTCCGCTGCACGTGGTGATCAGCAGAGGGAGCCCTGTCTATGGCCAATAGAGACTCTGCCCACCTAGGAGCTGTTTGTGCTGCTGACCTGACTGGGTAACAAAGCAGCCCTGACTGGTCAGCCTGGAGCAGTGAGGTGCTGATCCTGTCCCGCAGGGAGGCGTCTGGGCTGCGCTGGCTCAGGGCATCTGAGCAGGGCGTCAGGGGAAGGCTGGGTGGGGGCTCAAGCGTTGAGTCCTTCCTGATGACCTCAGGGGAGCTCCAGGAGGACAGCTCCATCGCCCTGAGCACGTTCTTCAAGGGTTCGGCCCCCTCGGTGTGGGTCAGGTCACGGGAGCTACTGTGCAAGCTAGCTTGTAGACAAAGTGACCCATCCTGCAAATCGATCTTATCTTCCACAGGGACCTTTGGTAATTCATTTCTTAGCAACGAATCCTGATTTCCAATAATGTCAATTAGATCGCATGAGGTTTTATCGATATTAAATGCATCAATAGGAGGTGATCTGTCAGTTTGTTCACTGTTTTTGGAACTGTCACTGGAACTACTTTCAAGTGCACGTGGAAATGCCAGTGGCTGCTGGGATTCAGAGTCCTCTGCCTCGATGTCTGGGACACTCAGAGAACGTACCAGACAGTTCAATTTTTCTTGAAGTTGTTTCACCTGAGTTATGAGATCAATTTTCTGCAGCTGACAACTTTCCAGTAGTTGTTCCCTATCCTGCGGGTAAAAAAGAATATACTTATATACTTACAGTAAAATGATTAAACTTTATGGCGTCACATTTGTCTGTCTAGTATTTTAGAGCCAATTTCAGAGACTGAGCAATTAAGGATGAGATTCTATGATGAGCCCGTTGGTCCCTCTAGACTCTTAAGATTTCAAGATTTTTTAATTCCATGAAAGATGGAATCCAGGCTCAATGCTCTTTGCCTAAAAGGCAGTTGTTGGAGAGGATTCTGGGATGGTGGCAGAGCAGGAAACAATGGAGTCTGTCTCCCCACCTGGACAGTAGTACTGGCAGAATCTGTCTAATGTAACAATTTTGGAATTCTGGAGTCTGTTGAAGGCTTGCAACTTCCAGGGAAAGACTTGGAGGATGCACAGCAGTCAATTTGGGTCAATTTCAGCTCTTAGCAGAGTAGCAACTAACCATCCCCCTCCCCCATCCTGAAAGGCAACTGTGCACGTGTTCCTGGAGCAGCTTGCACACAGCTTGCAGGACCTTGTGTGTGCAAAAGGACCCTGTCCTCCAAATACTGGGGATCTGGGCTCTGATGCTGCTTCTGATCACAGAGGTGCACACAAGAGGCGGGGTTGAGACTGCAGCCCTCCTGCTCTGGCTGAAAGGACTGGTACCCTTTTTTTCTACCACTGCCTTTTTCTCTTTTTTCCTTTTGTGGAGAAATTAAAAACTAGGGCATTCAAAAACACCTGCATATACAGAGAAAATCAGAAAGTGACTGCATGCGCCCAGGGAAAGGCACAGGCTCAGGAAAGACCTGAGAAGACCTTACGTCTACACCTCAGGCTGATCCTCAGCATACAGGCAGCCTACAACAATCAGAAAGAGGCACACAATAACAAAGACAGCAAACCCTGAAGAAGAGGTATTTCCACATTTACCACATTATTAGATTCAAATGTTCAGTGTCCAACAACAAAAATCACAAGGCATACAGAGAAAGAGAAAAGTACTGGACCATTCAAAGGAACAAAATAAACCAACAGAAACTGTCCCCAAAAAGACCTAAGGGCAGATCTACTTGACATGGACTTTTAAAACAACTGTCTTAGAGATGCTCAAAGACCTAAGGAAGATGTGGAGAAAAACCAAGAAAATGATGCATGAACAAAACATAAATATCAATAAAGAGATAGAAAACCTAAAAAGAAGCTAAAAAGAAATTCTGAATATGAGAAGTACAATAACTAAAATAAAAAATTCCTTATAAGCATTCAAAGGCAGATTTGAGGAAGCAGAAGAAAGAATCGGTGAACTTGAAGACAGAACAATGTAAATTACAGAGTCTGCAGAAAAGAAAGAAAAAGATGGAGAAAAGTGAATGGAACCTAAAGGACTTGTGGGACACCATCAAGCAGACCAACAAATGTATCACAGAAGTCCTGGAAGGAGAAAAGAGAAAAAGGAGGCAGAGACAATATTTGAGGACATAATGACTGAAAACATCACAAATTTGATGAAAAATTTGAATATAAACATCCAAGAAACTCAGTGAACTCCAATTAAGATGCACTCAAAGAGACCCATACCAAGACACATTATAATCAAACTTACAAAAGACAAAGACAAAGAAAATCTTGAAAGTAGCAAGAGAGAAGTGGCTGGCACATACAAGGAATCTTCCAACAGATTTATCATCAAAACGTTTGGAGGCCAGAGGACAGTACGCCAATATTCAAAGCGCTAAAAGAAAAAAAACTTTCAACTAAGAATTCTTCAAAACTGAGGAAGAAATTAACATTCCCAGATAAACAAAAGTTGAGGGAGTCTGTGACCACGAGACCTGCCCTGCAAGAAAGGTTCAAGGGAGTCCTGCAGGTGAAACAAAAGGACACTAGACGGTACTTTGAGGCCACATGGAGAAATCAAGATCTCAATAAAGGTAAACACACAGGCAGTTATAAAAGCTAGTGCTGGGTAACAATGGTTTGTAGCTCCACATTTTGTTTTCATCATGAATATTTTTTTAAAAAACCATTAGTCTAAAAGTTAGTATTATTGTAACTTTAGTTTGTAACTTCACATGTTGTTCTCTACATAATTTAAGAGATTAAAGCATTTAAAAGAATTATTAGTTTACATTTTGGGGCACACAAGTATAAAGATATAATTTTGTGACATCAACAACTAAAAGGGGTAGGGACAGACCTGTAAAGGAGCAGAGTTTTGTATGTTATTGAAGTTAAACTGCTGTAAACTCAAATAAGAGCATTATAACTTTCAGATGCTAAATGTAATCCCCCTCAGTAACCACAAAGAAAATAGCTACAGAATATACACAAAGAGGAATGAGAAAGGAATTTAAACATTTGACTCTAAAAAATAAACTTCAGAGATTGATTGTGAAAAAATCAACCCAAGAGAAGACAGTAATGCAAGAATGAGGAACCAAAAAAAGCTATAAGGTACATAGCAAACAAATAGCAAGATGACAAAAGTACATGCCTCCACGTCAGTAATTACTTTAAATGTAAATGCATTAAGCTCTCCAATCAAAGACAGAGATTGGCAGAATACATAAAAACACATGATCCAACCATATGCTGTCTACAAAAAGCTTACTTTGGACACAAAGACACAAGTAGTTTTAAATTGAAATGATGGAAAAACATATCCATGCAAGTATTAACCAAAGGAAAACATGGTGCCTATATTAACATCAGACAAACTAAATTCAAACCAAGAAAGGTTACAAGAGACAAAGGAGATTGAAATCAGTAATCAAAAATCTTGAACAAAACAAAGCCCTGGACCTGATGGCTTCACTGGTGAATTCGACCAAACATTTAAGGAAAAACCTAGACCAATTCTCTACACTCTCTTTTATAGGAAAGCACCAGAGGCATGCCTCCTAACTACGAGGCCAGCATTACCTTGATACTAAAGGCAAAGACATCACAAAAAATGAAAACTACAAACCAGTATCCCTTATGAACAATGACATAAAAGTCCTCAACAAAACACTAGTAAATCAAATTTAATAGCATATCAAAAGGATTATACACCATAATCAAGTGGTGTTTATTCCTGAAATGGAAGGATAGTTCAACATAGGAAAATCAATGTAGTACACCCCATTAAGAAAATGAAGGGGAAATCACAACATCATCTCAATGTAGAAAAGCACCTGACAAGATTCAACACCCTTTCACGATAAAAAAAATTCAACATAGGGGGCTGGCCCCGTGGCCGAGTGGTTAAGTTCGCGCGCTCCGCTGCAGGCGGCCCAGTGTTTCGTTGGTTCGAATCCTGGGCGCGGACATGGCACTGCTCGTCAAACCACGCTGAGGCAGCGTCCCACATGCCACAACTAGAAGGACCCACAACGAAGAATATACAACTGTGTACCCGGGGGCTTTGGGGAGAAAAAAAAAAAAAAAAAAGGAAAAAAATAAATTCTTTAAAAAAAAAAAAAAAAAAAAAATTCAACATAGTAGGAATAGAAGGAAACTACTTTAACATAAGAAAAGTCATACACGAGAAACACAGAGTGGACATCACACTCATGGTGAAAGAGTAAAAGCTTTTCCTCTGAGAACAAGGCAAGGATGCCCACTTTCACCGCTTCTCTTCAACACAGTTTTGGAAATTCTAGCTGGAGCAATTATGCAAGAAAAAGAAATGAAAGGCATCCAAATTGGAAAGAAATAAGTAAAAATATCTATGTTCACAGATGATACAATCATATGTAGAAAACTGAAGATTCCACAACAAAACTCTAAGGATTAATAAATAATTCAGCAAAGTCACAGGATACAATGTCAACATATAAAAATCAGTTGCATTCCTATACAGGAATAATAAACAACCTGAAAAGGAAATTAAGAAAACAATTCCATTTACAATAGCAACAAAAAATTAGAAAATAATTAAGAATCAACTTAACCAAAGAGGTGAAAGACTTGTACAATCAAATCATAAAACACAGCTGAAAGAAATTAAGGGAGACAGAAATAAATGGAAATACATCTTATGTTTAGAGACTGAAAGACTTAATACTGTTAATATGTCAATACTACCCAAAGCAATCTACAGATACAATGCTATCTCTAACAAAATTCCAATGACCTTTTTTGCAGAAATAGAAACTTCATCCTGAAATTCATATGGAATCTTAAAGGACCCCAAATAGCCAAAATAATCTTAAAAAAGAAAAACAAAGCAGGAGGACTTAAACTTTCTGATTTCAAAATTTATGACAAAGCTACAGTAACTGGCATAAAACCAGACATACAGACCAGTAGAAGAGAATAAGAGAGCCCAGAAGCAAATCCTCACATATGTGGTCAAATGATTTTTGACAAGGGTGCTAAGACCATTTTCAGAAAATGGTGCTGGGAAAACTGGATCTCCACATGCAAAAGAATGAAGTTGGACCCTTATCTAACACCATACACAAAAATTAACCCAAAATAGACCAAAGACCTAAAACTATAAAACTCTGAGAAGAAAACAGGGCAAAAGCTTCACGACATTGGATTTGGCTATGATTTCTTGGATATGACATCAAAGACACAGGCAACAAAAGGAAAGACAGACAAATTGGGCTTCATGAAATTTTAAAAATTTGTGCATCAAAAGACACTACCCATGAGGCCGGCCCTGTGGCTGAGTGGTTAAGTTTGCGTGCTCCCCTGTGGCAGCCCAGGGTTTCACCGGTTCGGATCCTGGGCATGGACATGGCACTGTTCATCAAGCCATGCTGAGGCGGTGTCCCACATGCCACAACTAGAAGGACCTACAACTAAAAATACACAACTATGTACCAGGGGGCTTTGGGGAGAAAAAGGAAAAATAAAATCTTAAAAAAAAAAGACACTGCCCACATAATAAAAAGGCAACCCACAAAATGAGAGAAAATATTTGCAAATCATACATCTGAGAAGGACTTATATCCAGAATATACAGAGAACTCCTAAAACTTAACAGAAACAACCAAGCTGATTTACATACAAGCAAAGGAAGTGAATACACATTTTTCCAAAGAAGTTATACACAAATGGCCAATAAGCACATGAAAAGATACCAAATATCACTACTCATTAGGGAAATGCAAATCAAAAGTATGTGAGATACCACCTCACATGTGAGGATGACCACTATCAAAAAGACAGAAAATAACAAGTGTTGGTGAAGACGTGGAGAACTTGGACCCCTTGTGTACTTTTGATGGGAAAGTCAAGTGGTGCAGCCGCTATGGAAAACAGTATGGCAGTTCCTCAAAAAGTTGAAAATAGGATTACCAGATGATCCAGAAATTCCACTTTTGGGTACATACCCAAAAGAATTGAAAGCAGGGTCTCTAAGAGATATTTGCGCACTCATGTTCACAGCAGCATTTTTTTTGGAGAAACAAATGCAGGATTTGTTTCTCAAAAAAAATACTGCATATATAACCAAATTATTATTCAGCCTTAAAAAAGAAATTCTGACACATGCTACAACATGGTTGAACCTTGAGAACATTTAAGTGAAATAAGCCAGTCACAAAAAGACAAATACTGTATGATCCACTTATATGAGGCCCCTAGAGGAGTCAGATTCATAAAGACAGGAAGGAGAATGGTGGTTGCCAGGAGCTAAGAAGAGAGGGGAACTGGAGTTACTGTTTAATGGTGACAGAGTTTGAGTTTTACTAGATGAAAAAAGCTACGGAGAGGGATGAGTACACAACATTATGAATGTATATAATACCACTGAACTGTACATTTAAAAATGGTTAAGATGTAAATCTTACGTTATGTGTGTTTTACCACACACACACAGGCAAATTGTCATAACCTATTTCTGTGGTAATATACTGAGGATGTAAGCTTTTTTTTTTTTAAGGAAAAAAAGTCCTGGAAAGTTCTATATGCAAACATTGAAAAACACAAAATTGTGATTTACGGAACAAATTTGGAATTTCCCTGTCAGTGTGTAACTTGTAAGAATTTGTCGACCAGTTCATGATATTGCAGGGCTGAGTTTTCTCTTAAGAATTCAAACAAACGTTCCTACCATGAGGGTACTGAGACAAGTTTGCTATACAGAGTTGGTGAAAAGCTTCTCTCTAAATAGAATATATTTCCTGAGGGGATTTGATAAACACATGAAACCAGATTCAGGCATCTTCTGTCAAAACCGCAGACACAGGCCCATAGTCCTGCTCTGAAACCACTGGGCTGGTGGGCCGTGGAATTCAGAGTCTTAGAGTCTACCATTCTAACGTGGTGCATGCGGCATCTCATAGGAGTGTTTCCAGGAGGGTGGGGCTGAACATCCTAGCAAACTGTACAACGTCCACACCAGCAGGGTTACCGGTCTCAAGAGAGCCAGGTCTGAGCAGGCTGCAGACCCAAGCACAGTGTGGTAACCCTCCAAACCAGCCAACCACTTTTGGTTTTCATAACACCTCGACCCTGCAACAATGTGACGTTGCCGATGTGCAACCTCCCCACCCTAGGGAAAGAAATGTCAACTTTCTTGTAGCTTCTGTCCTGGTGATCAGAATTTTAAACTGTTGAACTCCAGATTATTCCGCTCTGCTTTGCTGGGAGCACAAGTAAAATTATGTACAAAAAATAAACTGAGGTTAAAAAAATAAATGTGAAAGCTTTCAACATAAAAGAGACCCTGGCGATAAAGTTCAGAAGCCACAGTACGGCTGTGTGGTGATGTGTCCCCACACAAAAAATCCTAGAGACGAGCCCTGCAGGCCAGCTAAATCCTGCTTGTATCGATCATAAGGAGGAAGTAACTGCTCATTTCTCACCAGCTGATTAGACTGGGAAATGTGTGCTTCTAGAGTGCTTGAATAAAACATGTAGCCAATTTCAAAACAGATCTGAACAGCACTGCCACAAGAACGTGAGAGACTCTGCAAAATCACTGTCACTGTCTACAGTCTACATAATGTGTGCCACAGCCAGCCGAAGTGCCAGAGCGAATCTCTGCCCCGATCTGCCCCATGTGCTCAATGCCCAGCCTCTTCCGGAGCCACCGCAGTACCTTCGCTCGCCCTGACACTTTGCCATGGTCCTCCACACTCAAGCGCAGTTCATTTTTCACCAAGAGCAGCTCAGACTCCAGCTGCCTCTGGCAGACTGTGAGCACCGACATCACACTGTCTCGCTTCTGGAGACCTGCATGGTCTGACGTCACCAGGGCTTTCGCAGGCTGCAAACCATCCTTAACCGGACTCTACAATAAGGAGAGAGAGTAATGATGATGCTTATAAAGACAAAGCTAAACACATCAGACAGACGTGCAGTGAGCCGGGTGCTGGGTGCTTCAGACTCTCGGGAGTCCTGGAGCCAATGTGTCAGCCAGCAGGGCCATGAGGGAAAGTCCACAGGTTGTAACCAGCAAGTCTCCTGTCTCCAAAATCACACAGGGAGAGCAGGAGACCAGCACTGTGCACCCAACACCCACAGCAGGTCAAGATGTGCTCGAGGCTGATGGCTCCAAGGGCCTAGGCACCAACTGAGGGTGACCCCACAAAGCACATGGAAGCGCGGCCGCTCGACACAGAATGCTGAGCTGGTGTGGGGCAGCAGGCTGTGAATCCCGACTTCTACTCAAAAACAAACTGGAACATGTTCCAAAATGAAATGAGCATAAAGCGTTTTAGAGGGAATGCTCATTAAAGGATGGACCATCTAACTAGAACCCAGAGGGGAAGTAAGAGACTTCACATCGGGTACTCTCCACATCACTGATGCTCCCTATCCTATTAAAGAAGTGTTTTAAAAAGCTTAATAACTTACGATATTAAGTTTAAAACTGTACAAAACAGTGAAACCCCAGCCCGATTTCACAGTGTACATGTGTTCTGACTTGAAGTTCTACGGATCCTAAATGGGCCCCAGGCCAGCATGAGCTTCAGACTCATTTCTCTACATCATGAGCCACCCAATGGAAACTGCATCCTCCCTGCCCAGCAGAGAAAGAAGGAAGGTCATTAAAATTAAAAGAAAAAGAGTAGAAGAGAAAGAAAAGAAATTCAGTCTCCTTCAGAGAACACTTAACTCCCTCTGGTCCAGCCCCAGGGCTCGGCCACTCACTGCCTGGTGAGGGCTTCCTGCAGGCTCCAGGGACACCCCAGCTCCCCCAGCACGCCCCAGCTCTCTGAACACAGAAGCTGAGACACCTGTGGGCCTGCAGAGTGAATGAGGCCCACCTGTGGGTCACTGCCATGGCCGTTGGGGGTTGTGGTCAGCTTCCTGCTGCCCACACCCTGTTCTGACTCTTCATCACAGAAAGCCTCTTTAACCCCAGGGGACCCATCCCTGGGAGCTGACCTCTACACGAGGGTACAGACGGGCCCCGTGCTCCTGTGGCTTGTCCAGTGCCTCCTGGCACCTCAGGAACCGCTGGTTCAGTGTCTGCAGCTGGCGGCTGAGGCGGGCACACTGCACTCGGAGCCGCTGCAGCTCAGGGGGCTCGTCCGCAGCAGCCAGGGGCTGCTGTTCCAGGGCACGGCGGAAGCGGGTTAAGGCCGACAGGATGTTCTGCAGCTCAGTGGAGTAGGCAGACTTCTGTTTGTTCATGGCCTCAATTTCTAAATCTCTTTCCACAATCTTCACTTCTTTTGCTTTTAGAGCAGCTTCAAACTCTCGGATCTGGGAGGCCAGGCGCTGGACCTCGGCCTCCCTGCGGGCCGTGCCATGCCTCAGCTCCACCAGCTGCCCTGCGGCAGCCTCCTGAGCACCCCGCAGGCGCTGCTGCAGGGCCTCCAGGGCCTGGCCATGCCTGCGCTCCTGCTCAGCAAGCAGCTGGCTCAGGGCCTCCTTGGCAGCCAGCGCGGCTTGGAGCTCACCCTCCAGCGCCGCATGGGCCTCGGCCCCCTCAGCCTGGAGGCAGAGCAGCCCCCGCTCCAGCTCACTCTGCAGGTCTTCGGCACGGCAGTCACTGACTTCATGCACCGCAAGTCCCCCGAGGGAGAGCTCTCTCTGCAGTTTCTCGATGACTTCATGGAGCTGCTCAATTTCTTCTGCCTTATCCTTCTGTAATCGTTCCTGATTCTCTTGCAAATTCTCAATAATGGATTTCAGCTCCTCGATTTCAGAACTTCTGCTATACATAACCTGAAAAACACATTTCAGAGGCAAATTAAGTCTAACAACTTCAGAATTTCCCTCTTTCAACTTACAGTTAAGCCTGAATTCATTCTTACAGAAGTGGAGAGACTTCACAGCTCGAAAAACAAAACTGTGGGAAGAAACTAACAACGTCACCCAAAGACATTTAAAATTTGAAAAACACCCAAATGCGGCACCGTGACTACTTCAAGCTCATCGAACAGTCGGACAGCACCACCTCCCACTGCTGCTTTGCTACTTGCTCTGACCCTTCAGTCAAGGCTGCGTCCCACCGCTGTTAGGACCACAACCCTTGGCCGCCAAAATACAGAAGCAGCTCTAACTTGGCCACTTCTCAATCAATGACACCTACACACTCATGTGCTACCACCTTCTAAACGTGCGTTTTGTTACCATCTAAACAACTTTGATTTGTTTGATTTTCCTAAAGGGAGCATTTAGATTTTAGGTATCATTCTAACACTAGAATAAGAATGAAAGTGAGAAAATCAGGCTAGAGAATGTGTGTTAATGAGGAATGAGAGTGAGCACATTTCCACACTGTTTGCACGGAGACGTGGGGACATCGTTTCTGTCGCCTCGACCACCCTGTGCTGAGCACTGTGCCACACCAGCCAACTAAGAACGCTTTTACTTGTGCTATTTATCTAATCTTCAACAATTTTAAGGTGAGAAATGTTATTATTCCTATATCAAAGATGGAACAATTGAAACTTAGATATTAAATATCTTGCCAAGACCACAAAGACAGTAAATGGAAAATCAGGATTGAAATCTATGTCAATATGGCTCCCAACTCCATTCTCTTAAGATCACATCACTGATAGTGACCAAAAAATAAAAATTCTAACCAATTTGTGTTCTAGTTAACAAGCTTCAACCAATTTGTTATAGTCTAATATTTTGCTTCCAAAAAATTGAGGGTTTCACAATTCTTGGTTTCACTAGTATTACTTAACACTTACTTTAAATTCACATTCAAATCTGGCCCGTAGTGAAAACGAAAACAAGAAAACTGATTAATTTTTGGTTTTGGTTTGGATACTATCAGTCATACATTGACACACATTTACTATGTCTGAATGCCATATTACAAAGTTAGCAAAAGAATGTCTCAGCATGAAGTGAGACCCTCACACCCAGCTGCAGTTTGCACCCCCCATGCTGTGTGCACACAGACCCATGTCCCCCTACTCACAGAAAAGTTAAGGAAGTTTTAGGGATAATTCTGATGGTGTATAATTTGTGCTTATTCATGTAATGCACTAATTACACTGAGATGAAAAGGTACACAGTACAAAGCAGCCACACTCACAACACAAATATTACACTTAAAATATTACAGCCAGGGAGCTGGCCCGGTGGCACAGTGGCTAAGTGTACACGTTCCACTTCAGCAGCCTGGGGCTCGCCAGTTCGGATCACTGGTGAGGACATGGCACCACTTGGCAGGCCATGCTGTGGTAGGCATCCCACATATGAAGTAGAGGAAGATGAGCACAGACGTTAGCTCAGGGCCAGTCTTTCTCAGCAAAAGAAGAGGATTGGTGGCAGATGTTAGCTCAGGGTTAACCTTCCTCAAAAAAAAAAAAATTACAGCCAGCATATGAAGCTGGCTTTAAAATGTAAAACACCACAACCTAAAATAAGCCCTCTGAGACATAGCGCAACCAGAGCAGGCGAGGAGGCAGAGGAGCAACAACAGGCAAGGGTGCCAGGAGGAGGAGGATGGCAGCGCAGGCAGGGCCAAAAAGCAGCAGACATGCAGGCCCAGCACACAGGGCACCGTCTCCCTGAGCGTGTGTGGTGGCCCTTTAGACACGGAACAGCGTGGAAGAGATCAGGCCTGAGCACTCCCACCAAGGGCAGCCAAGACGGCCCCCCTGACCCAGAAGTGGTGTCTCAGAGGGCGTCTCTCCCTTGGTGGTGTTGTTCTGTGAGGCATCATGAGGTGGGGCTGAAATCACCCAGGAGGGGCCGTGGAGCTCCAAGACGGGTGTGCAGACGGACACTCCTCAGAACCCACCTTGCAAAACCTAACAGCCACACCCAACCCGCCTGCAGGTCCAGGACACCTTGCAGGGGACTCAGACATGACAGAGGCCCCCAGATGGGGGAGTTTCCGTCTCTCCGTCTGTGTCCTGGAGCAACGCAGCCGGATAAGGCCCGGGAGAAGGGGCCAGGGCAGCTGGAGCCACAGAGAAGGACAGAGAAGGACAGAGAAGCAGGGAAGGAAATCCCGAACCCTGTGTGTCAGCTCCGCCCACATCCTGGGCCAATCCGGGCACTCTCTCTGCAGGCAGGACAGAGTGCATACTTGAGTCTAACCAAGACAACTATCATTGAAACAAAGCCTCAACGCTCTTCAGAAGCAAGAGTCCCCACAACATAATTGGCAGGATATCAAGAATGCAAACGAAAATTAATCTACACACAAAAAAATCAGCAACATGTGGTCAATTCTTAACAAAAAAAGACAACCAATGGCAACCAATCCGGAGATGACAAAAAAGCTGGAACGAGCTAACACGGGTGTTAAAGCCTACGCCACAGCTGTGTTCAGGACGTAAAGACAAGAATGCTCATGATAAACAAAAAGAGAGGAAGTCAGGCAGAGAAAACTATGAAAAGAAACCAAAATTCCAGAACTAAAAATTACAATGTATGAAATTTAGGGATTCACTCAATGGGCTTAAGAAAACCCTGGATATGACAGCGAGTCCATTATCCCATAAGAGGAAAAGAAAAGAATTATAAAAAATGCACACAGCCTCAAACACCCATAGGACAATGTAAAAGGTATAGCATATTGTAACTGGAGCTCCAAAACAGAGTGTGAGGCAGAAAAAACACCTCAAAAAATAAATTTCCAATAATGAAATAATTTGAACAGCCCTACACCTAGTAAGGAAATTTACTCCATAATTAAAAAAAAGAACTTGCTAGGTCCAGCTGGTTTCACTCAAAAATTCTACTCAACATTTAAAGAATAAATAATACCAATTCTATACAACCTCTTCCAGAAAATAGTCAAGGGAACAATTCATTCAGTGAAACCAATATTACTCTGATACCAAAACCAGACAGAATTCACCAGAAAAGGGGAGACGAATACAGATAAACAGATTCTTAACAAAATACTAGTAAACAGAACTCAGCAAATATAAAAAGAACTATACACCGTGACCAGGTGGGGTTTATTCCAGGGACTCAAAGCTGGTTTAATATTTGAAAATCCATCAATGTAATATGCCTAATTATTAATAGGACAAAGAAGAAAAATCACATGATCCTATCAACTGCTAAAAAACAAAAGTTGATTTGGCAAAATTCAATACCATTCTTGATAAAAACTCAGAAAACAAGGAGTAGGGAAGAACTTCCTTAACTTGATAAGGAATATCATTTTTAAAACCTACAGCTAATATCACACTTAATAGTGAAAGCCAGAATGTTTTCCCTTAAGATCTGAAACAAGGCAAAAATGTCCACTGCTATTCAACATAGTACTGGAAGTCCGAACTCAAAAGGCAAGAAAAGGATATAAAAACCGTACAGAATGGAAAAGTAGAAATTAAACTGTCCCTATTTGCAGATGATATTACAGTCTACATAGAAAATTCCATGGAATAAACAAAAAAAGCTCCTAGATTTAATTAGTGAATTTAGCAAAGTCACAGGATACAAGGTTAATATTTTAAACAATCTATTGCATTTCTATATACTAGCAATGAACAAGTAGAATTCAAAATTTTCTTTTCTTTTGAGGAAGATTAGCCCTGAGCTCACATCTGCCACCAATCCTCCTCTTTTTGCTGAGGAAGACTGACCCCTAAGCTAACATCCGTGCCCACCTTCCTCTACTTTATATATGGGACGCCTATCACAGCATGGCTTGCCAAGTGGTGCCATGTCAGCACACGGGATCCAAACTGGCGAACCCCAGGGCACCGAAGTGGAACGTGCGAACTTAACCACTGTGCCACCAGGCTGGCCCCAAAACATACTATTTTTAAATTAAATAAACATATCATTTAGGACAGCACCACAACAAAAATATGTAGATATAAATCTAACAAAACACATGCAGGATACATAAGTTGAAAACAATACACCACCAATGAAAGAAATCCAAGACGACAAATAAATGGAGAGTTACACCACGTTCACGGATTGGAAGACTCAATATTGTCAAGATGTTAATTCTTTCATGATCAATCTAGACTCAATGCAATCCAAATCAAAATGCCAGCAAGATTCTTCTGTAGATATCACTTTGTTGATTCTACAATTATATGGAAAGCCAAAGGAACTAGAAGAACCAAAACAATTTTGTAAACAGAAGAAGTTGGATGATTTACATTATCTGACTTCAAGACTTACTGAAAAGCTACAGAAATAGTGTGGTATTAGTAAAGAGAGAGAAACCTAGATCAATAAAACTGAATAGAGTTCAGAAATAGATCCAAACAAATATGGAGAAGATTTTCTCCACAGATTTCTCCAAAGATTTTCAATGGAGAAAAGATTACTGTTTGAACAAACAGTGCTGGAACAATTACACACCCATGTGCCAAAAAATACAGTGCATCATAGACTTGAATACCAAGCAAAACTATGAAATTTCTAAGAGAAAACATATGAGAAAATCTTTGTGATCTGGGATTAGGTAAAGAGCTCTCAGATACAAATCCAAAAGGATATCCATTTAAAAAATTAATAAATTGAACTTCATCAAAACTAAAAGGTTTTGCTCTGTGAAAAACACTGTTAAAGAGAATAAAGAGACAGCTGCAGTGGGTGAAAATATCTGCAGATCATATATCAAAAAAACACGTTCAGGGGCCAGTGCCATGGCCAAGTGGTTAAGTTCACACACTCCACTTCAGCGGCCCAGGGTTTTGCCAGTTCAGATCCTAGGTGCAGACATGGCACCACTCATCAGGCCATTCTGAGGCAGTGTCCCACATGCCACAACCAGAGGCACTCACAACTAGAAGATACAACTATGTACTGGGAGGCTTTGGGAAGAAGAAGAAGGAAAAAACAAAAAGATTGGCAACAGATGTTAGCTCAGGTACCAATCTTAAAAAACAAAACAAACAAATAAACAAAACCATACTCAGAAGATACGAGGAATTCCCAAAACTCAGTATGAAAATGAACAATCCAACTTTTAAAAAATTAGCAAAGGATTTGAATAAACATTTTGCCACAATATGTATGGCAAAATAGCCTATAAAAAGATGCTCAGGATCATTAGTCATTAAGAAAATGTGAATTAAACCCCAAGAGTATATACCACTACACACCTACTAAAATGGCTAAAACAAGTAAGACTGACCGTACCACGTGCTGGTGAAGACGTGATTGACTGGAGCCCTCAGGCACTGCTGGCGGTGCGTGGTAAAATGGTAGAGCAACTTTGGAAACAGTTTGACAGCTTCTTTTAAGGTTAAACACATACTTACATATGAATCAGCCACTCTACTCCTAGGTATTTACCCCATAGAAATGAAAATTTATTTTCACACAAAAACCTGTACATGGAGGTTTACAGCAGCTCAATTCATAATTGCCAAAACCTGGAAACAACCAAAGATCCATCAATGAGTGAACGGATAAACCAGCCATGGAACATCTTTATAACACTGCTCAGCAATAAAAGGAACGAATCACTGATAGGTGCAACAGAGATGAACTGCAAACACATGATGCTGAGTGACTTGACAGAGTGTTCTGGAAAAGGCAAACTACAGGGCTGAAGAACACACTGTGGCTGCCACGCTGGGAGTGGGGATGGTGACCACAAGGGCAGCACAGGAGAGTTTCTGAGTGAAGGACTGTTCCATAGCTTGATTGCAGTCGTGATTACAGGACTTAATGCATATTTCCAAACTCACAGAACTGTCCAAAAAAAGTGAATTTTACCGTATGTATGTTTTTTAAAAACCGAAAAATTTACAGGTAATAAATGGTTATATTAAAAAATAAGACCTGTCTAAAATCAGTGACCTAAGGGTCTACCCAAAGAAGCTGGAAAAAGAGCAAAATAAACCCAAGGTAAGTAGAAGGAATCAGGGAATAAATATAAGACAAACCAAACAGACAGAAAAAACTGAGAAAACTAGCAAAACCAAAATCTGGTTTTTGAAAACATCAACAAAAGTGATAAACCCCTAGCTAGAGAGACTTCAAGAAAAAGAGAAACCACAAATTCACCAATCCGGAATGAAAAAATGGTCATCAATGCAGAATTTAAGATAGTCAATGAGTTAGTAAGGAAATGGGAATTTCCTAAGGAATAATAAGGAAAAGACTATGAACTTCACTCCAAGAAATTTGACAAGTTAGATGAAATAGATAAATTATTTTCTTTTTTGGAGGAAGATTGGCCCTGAGCTACCATCTGTGCTAATCCTCCTCTACGTTATGTGGGATGCCGTCATAGCATGGCTTGACAAGCAATGCTAGGTCTGCACCTGGGATCCCAACCTGTGAACGTGGGGCTGACAAAGCAGAGCACACAAACTTAACCACTATGCCACTGGGCCAGCCCCAATAAATTCTTTGAAAAATACAACTTATCAAAACTAACACAAGATGAAAGAGAAATCCAAATACCTCTATATTAATTAAATTCATTCTCAAAAACCTCCTACTTAAGTAACCTTCACAGCCAGACAGTTTCACTGTTGATTCTATTAAAACATTTAAAGAAAAAAAAAATCACATCTATGTTAAATAACCTCTTTCAGAAAATGGAGACAGTGGGAAAACTTCCAACACATTTCATAAGACCAGCAAAACCTTCATACCAAAACCTGATAAAATATTACCAAAGAAGAAAATTACAGACCAATATCACTCATGAATACAGATGCAAAAACCACTGACAAAATACCAGCACATCAAATCCAACAACATATTAAAAGGGTTGCACATCACCACAAGTCGGTTTATCCCAGGAATGCAAGGTTGGTTTAACCTTCAAAAACCAGTGTAATTAACCCTGTTAGTAGAATTGAAGAGAAAAATAATATAACTAATTCAAAAGATGTAAAAGAAGCAAACTAGAAATAGAAAAGAACGTCCTCAACCTGATAAAAGACATCTATGAAAAACCTACAGCTAACATCATACTTAATGGTGAAACACTCAATACCTTCCCCAAGATCAAGAACAAAGGACAACTGCTATCACCTATTTTATTAACATTGTCCTGGAAGTGCTAGACATTGTGACAAGGAAGAAAAAGAATTAAAAGAAAAGATTGGAAAGAAACAAAACTGGGTCTATTTGCAGACAGTGTATCTTACACACAGAAAGCCCCAGGAATCTATAAACACACTCCTAGTATCCATCAACTTAGCAAGGTAACAGGACACAACATTAGTATACAAAAATTATATATCTACAAATACATCTACGTATGTACGTATGTACACTCACGGCAAACAACTGGATGATGAAATTTTTTTTAAAGCCCACTTACAATAGTGCAACAAACCTAAAATACTTAGGGATACATTTAACAAAAGATGTTCAAGACTTCTTCATTGAAAACTACAGAATAAGGGGAAAAATAAATGATAAAATTAAAGAAAGAACACTAACCCAGGTGTCGGAATAGACAAAGAAGGAAGGAACAACAGATGTTGAGAATAAGGTGTTAGGATGTCAAGGAGCTGCTGGAGAACGAAGTACAGAAAAGAAATAACGATAGCCATATTGACAGAGGTCTTAACAACGAGCAATGGGGACAGAAGAGTTCAGTTTTCCCAACAAACCTGAAAGATACTATGATTCCAGGAAATGAAAATCTTCACTGACATAAAATAAGGGTAGAAAATATATCAAAATGTGGTTTCCTTCAAAGAATTAGAAACCTAACAAAAGTTATTCCTACAAGTGAAATTTTAGTTGTATTTATTACATCAAAGCAAAGATATCGTCCATACATTCAAAAAACATTAGAAGTAGAATTACAGAAAACAAAGGATGTACAGATTTGCACATATCTAGAAATGAACAAAAATCTCAAAAGAAAATATTTCGAATTGTGTTTATATAGCTCTCTATTCTTAGTGAAACTAAAATATTTTCCTTATCACAAAAACTATCTTTAATATTTATAATATTTTAGTATGTAAAATTATACTCACATGGCCAATTCTGGAACACTAAGGAACAGTAACAGATACAACCTCCTTTAAATAATTAGTCACTGGTTTTAAGGGTATTCCTCAAAGTAACAAAAAGGATATCTTTAAGTTCTGCCAAACATATAAGATACCAACACAGATCATTAATATCCCAACAGCCTCTGTCACTGCAAAGTTTGGAGACATGAAAATCTACAGATAAAACTTCTCCTTTTCACCCCACCAGCCCCCCACCATCCTTACCTCCAAAATTAATGAAAAAACCATTATCAACTGTATATAATGACATAGTTTACTGCCATCCCAAAGGCCCCCCGGGGTCCCCAGATCACAGTGACAAACTACCAAGAACTCAATGCACAAGACGCAGTTAAGGCCAAAGGCACAAGCCTGGACTGCATCCAGCGTCGGGAGGCCTACCTCACTGAGAGCGCCAGTTCCCATCCCAGCCAGCTGTGCCTCAAGCTGCTCACTCACACACTTTATCTCCCTTTCTTTGTTCTGTAGAAATGCCTGTGGAGATGATAACAACAAAGCCAAAGCAGCATTACTACAGGAAACAGTCCCGGCCCTGCAGACGTGGAATATCCTAATTAAATAAGCCGGAGTTCTAAATACCAATACTTGATTTGAAAATGTTTTTCTACTAAAGTCTTTCTTTTTAAAATGACATATTAGAGTTTGACTTTAGAAAATTAATCACTGCATTTCTCCAGGCAATTTGTTTCAAAGCAATGGCTGAAGAGTAATTAAAGTGTGCTCTTATCTACGTCTCACCTGTTAATTAAGGACAGACTCCCACCGAAAGGACGACTAGTGACTAGATTGCCTCAGAACTCTACTTTCACTGAAGACATTTTAAAGCCATACAGCTGCACCCTTTGTCGAATTGGATCCCTTGAATTTCTTTCAATGCTGTTAGTTCACTCATCCAACAACTGTCAGTTTGGCACCATAGACAGTGACTCTAAACTCATATATTTCACAGCCATCTTTTAAGGTTAGGACTTCTTTACAACTTTATCAACTCCACTATACAGAGGTTATTTTTCTTTTTGCTTCAAAAGCACAGTTGAATTAAGATAATAGAGAAGATTTAAAACTGGGTTTTTTATCATCTTACTTGCAGGAAGGATGACAATGAGCAACTATTTACTAGAAATCACTTCTAGAATGGGGTGCCCCTGTAAAAGCCAAAAGCAGGTACCACTGCTCCAAAGCTATAATTTCTTTCCTGGCAGTTTCCGTTGCTAGGCAAGTGCCTTTCCTGTACTGGGCCCCAACAAGCATCCTTTCAAAAGCCTAACTGCTGGTGCCACACGCAAGCACAGAGCACGGTGTGCAGGTGGACATGGAAGAGCTCCACCATCAAGGGGACTCCATGCTCCACTCTTGATTCCCAGAAAGCTCTCCCACTGAACACTTCCTAGCACAGCCCCAGCTGCCAATCTTAGTGCAGAAGTCAGGCACTTGCCGAAATCACCTGCCTGCACAGGGTCCTCCTTCTGTCTCCAGACAGAAGGCTTGCGCAGGCCTGGGAAGGTCCAAGGCCCCAGTCCCTCGGCTGCAGCTCTTACACAAGCAACACAATCTTAGGTGTCAGGGTGGGTCCTCTTAGTTTACCTTCAAATTGGCATTCTCTTCTTGAAGTTCTCTGACGCTGGCCGCACTATGGTTGTTCTGCATGTCTAATTTCAAGGTCAGATGTAGTACTTCCTCATTTTTACTTACTAAGTCATCTTTAACCTTTTCTAGTTGTTCTTTTAAGTCCAAAATCTTTCATTAAAACAAAAGAAGGTAGGTATTAAAAGTTATCTAATATTGCAATTAATAATTATTAAAATCACTTTGAAAGATTTAAAAGTACATGCCAAAAAGTTAACATACTATAACCCACATAAAAACATTAAAATTACAAAGAATATACAGTAAATGCATCATCTGAAGTGCAGTGGACGCTGTCAGCAGACCCTCTGAGCAGAGGAGGAAAGGGCCCGTGCCCGCCCTCCCTTACCTCGGTCTCACGCTGCAGGAGCACCCTCTGCACTGCCTCTGACTGGACTTCTGGACCCTCGGGACAGCTGCCTGCAGAAGGCAAGGGGCATTTGCCCTCATCTAGTTTAGACTGCAAAGTGGACACCAGTAGCAAGTTACTCATCTGCTGTTCCTGCAATGCCTCTTTATCCTGTTTAAGACAAAAAATGCGATTTCAGGCAAGTATTTCAGGAATCAGGGGCCTCAAACGTCTGTTTGTTACAGGGTAAATCATCTTCAGCTCTTCCTGGAGCACACCCCCCACACACATGCATGGACCAGACCAGACATATGACCCACAGACCAGCCATGCTCCAGAGCAGAGCCACCTGGGGAAGGACGCAGTCCCAAACAGAGGGCCACAGCCTGTGCCCGTGACTGCACCACAAGGAATTTATCCTCAGTAATTATTCAACAAGGCACAAAAATAGTCTCTAGACTATTAAAATAGGCTCTAGCCGTTTTTAAAAAATTGGAAAGAACTTGCCAAAGAAGGGAGCAATGGCTGACAATACATCTATACAAGGAATATTTGTAAACATTAAAAATTCTTCAAAGAGATGTTATCTTAAAGTAACAGTCAGGTACATCTTAACATTTTACTTTGTCATCATTATCATAAGGTATATGATGCAAATAAAATTGGTACACAACGTGGAAATAAGTGACATTTCAATGTCCTTGAGTTTGATAAAATTATTATCAGAAAATCAGAGAAGATCAACTGGAAAACAGTTGAGAGGTGGAGGTCTGTAGTAAGTTAATAGGGCATAAAATTAAAATAAACAAATCAGTATCATTGTCTATATTTAATTATGATTTAGAAATCACAATGAAATCAAAGATCTTATTTATAAGTTAATAAAGCAGTTGAACAAATCTTAAAAACAAAAAGTCCTTGGGGCCAGCCCCGTGGCCGACTGGTTACGTTTGTGTGCTCCGCTTCAGCAGCCCAGGGTTTCACTGGTTCGGATCCTGGGCATGGACATAGATAGCACTGCTCATCGGGCCATGCTGAGGCAGCGTCTAACATGCCACGACTACAAGGACCCACAACTAAAAATACACAACTATGTAAGTGGGCTTTGGGGAGAAAAAGGAAAAATAAAATCTTCAAAAAAAAAAAAAGTCCTCAAAGAATATTTGACATGGATAAAATGGTCACAATATATTAAGAGGGGAAGAAAAAGGCATACAAAGCTATATATATGGTCCAACTTTGTGGAGGGAAAAAAGGCATTTTCTATACCCCTGGCACCTAATAAGCTCAGTAAATGTTTGCTGAGGGAAACAGTAAGGGAGGGAGAGAGGGACGGATGGACAGACGAGGCAGTCCCAAGCTGAGCTATCCCCCACAAGCCCAGGAAGTGGCTGGACCAGAGGCATGACTCCCCTCCAGGCAGGTGACACAAGCTGCCTGGGCCTCTCCCCAATGTCCTTCCCAAGAGAGTAAACCTGTCTTCAAGAAAGAGCTTTGACTTCATTAAATGGTTCTCACCAGCATTTTCAAGAACCAAACACACCTGGTAAAAACTCTCCAAGATTTGTCTTAAGGTCAAATCTGTGATTCTAAAGTAAAATTTCTCCTAAGACTCACTTTTCAAGTAATTCTTAACTCCCAGCGACATGAAATGGAACCTTAAGAGTTGAATTCCTTTTGACTAAATGCTCAAAAGGAGGGACAAGTGCTCATGGGAAGCGGTGGAGGGCAGGAGAATCAGATGACCCCACTCACGCTCAGCTCTCCCACCTCAGCTTAAACTTCCAGAGACAACAAAACCCCTGTATGCCACAGATGCGTAACTGCAAACTACAGTATGAAAACTATCACTGGACGTAAATTCCTGAACTCAAAAATTAAAATAATTCTAACTAGCTCCAAGTCAAGTACCTAATGAAATAAGTTTTTCAACATAAAACCTTAAATATTTACTTTATGAAATTACTAAGGATAAGTTTAGAGTACTTGAGAGATACTGGAGTGCCATAAAAATTGATATAAAATGCTACTAATGTGATATTGTGACTTATAACAAGAAATGCAGTCAAATGTCACTTATCAAAGGGGATGTGTTCTGAGAAATGTGTCATCAGGCAATTCTGTCATTGTATGAACATCACAGAGTGATTCACACAAACCTAGATGATAGAGCTCACTACACACCTAGGCTACATGGTGCTAATCTTACAGGATCGCCATGGCCTGTGGGGTCTGTTGCTGACCAAATGTCACTATGCAGCATGTGATGTGTTTGTTTGGGCCTCGTCTGATCCCTGGCTCACAGCTCCTAAACACCTTGGAAGTTCCTGAGTGATAAGTGATAAGGCTGTCTTGATATTCGTAACAAGCCCCTTCCAGCCACACCTGAGCTGAGGTAAGTTTTGGAAAGCCCCTAGGTCACCTAAGGAAGAGGACGGGTCAACAGGGGACCCAACCATGTGTTTGGAGGGTTGCACTTCTCAGTGCCACCCCAACCTCAGGGAAGAGACAGGGGTTGGAGGTTGAATCAGTCACCAATGACCAAAGATTTAATCAATCATGCCTATGTAACGGAACCTCCATAAAAACCCAACAGGATGGGGTTCGGGCAGCTTCTGGGTTGGCAAACACGTGGAGGTGCTGGGAGGGTGGTGCTCCCAGAGCGTGAAGCTCTGAGCCCTTCCCACATCCCTTGCCCTGTGCATCTCTTCCACCTGGCTGTTCCTGAGTTTTGTCCTTTAATAATAAACCAGCGATCTAGTAAGTAAAATGTTTCTCTGGGTTCTGTGAGCTCTTTTGCAAGTTAATTGAACCCGAGGAGGGGGTTGCAGGACCTCTGACTTATCCATCCTGGACTGGTGACTGACATCTGAAGTGGGGCTGAGCCCCTGCCCTGTGGGATCTGACGCCATCTCCAGATAGATGGTGTCAGAATTGAGTGAAGCTGAAGGACCCCCAGCCGGGGTCTACTGAGAAATGGAAACCTCTTGGTGTGGGGACCTCTCCCATCTGGTGACCACAGGCATCAGGAGTCCAGTGAGGTGGTGCTGCAGCGGAGGGCTGACAGCAAAGAGACACGCAGAGCGTCACTCCTTCGAGTAAATAAAAGCAGAGGTCAGAATGAACTCTGCTGCCCACTGGTCTGGGGTCCTGGCTCCTACGTAGTCTTCCTGGTGCAGCCAACGGCACAAGTGAAAGGAAGAAGAGAAAGCTCCGCCCACCTGCCCACCGGCTCAGAGCAGTCAGGGCAACGTGGCAACAAGTGCCCCATCGACCAGAGACCCCTGTGGACGCCAACGAGACAGAGGGTGTTTACTTGCTGTAACTCTTTCACAGTTTTCCTCTGCTTCTCCAGCTCTTCCTGGAGCTGGATTACTTGTCTTCTGGTGTTGGCATTTGTCTCCTCGAGACGTTTAATTTCCTCTTCCTGGATCAACACTTGTCTATCTGCCAGTTCTTTCTTTATAACCAATTCATTAAGTCCATCTGACTTCTCTCTCAATTTTTCTTGTAACAATTCAACCTAAAACAACAAAAAATGCTTGAGAAATACAATAGTTAAAAAAACAAAATTACCTTCCAAATAAAGTACACAATACAACTGAGAGAAAACTGATCTATGTGGTTTTGACCTAGGCTGCACAATGACGCCTAGGGAGAGAATGTGATAAACTGTATTAGCAAGGACATCCCCTCAACAAAAAGACACACAGAATAATAATATGGTACAACATGTGTCAGTAAAATAAAGTTGATTTTGATAGTAAGGGATGGAATGCTACTCAGCAATGAAAAAGAATCAACTACAGACACAGCAACAACCTGGAAGAATCTCCAGAAAGTCAGTCCCAAAAGCTCACACAACGTATGGTCCACTTGTGTAACAGTATGGGAATAACAAACCCGTAGAGCAGAGGACAAGCTGGGCGAGGGGGAAGGCAGCCTGGGGGACCGGTGGGGAGGGACTCGTCTCATCTGTCTGCACATCCACATCAGGCCCTGATCTGGGGCTGAGTTCTGCAGGTTGTCACCACGGGGGAGCTGGGTTAAGGGGACACAGGATCTCTCTGGGTCTTATTTCTCACAACTGCAAATCAATCCACAATTATCTCAAAATAATTTTTAAAAAAGAATAAGGAAATCAACTACAGCTACTTCAGACAGGAGGAAGGAGACAGTTCCAGCCCCAACCAGAAGGAAGCAAGAAAAAACAGCAAAAAGCAGGACCAGGTGCCCAACCCCTCCCCAGTGGCCATGCAGAGGGCAGGCTAGGGGGCAGCACCAACACTCGAGGGACAGCACAGATAGGCACACCCTACCTCCTCATCCAGCTGTGCCCGCTGCCGTTTCATGTGCATGGAAAGAAAAAGTTTCAAAAGATAAAGCTTAAAAACGTTGTAGACAACAACGGCTCCCCCACAGCATGCAGGACAGTAGGCTGACTTACATGGCTGTCATGCGGGCCCCGGGGCTGCGGCCTGGCCACCTGTCGGAGCTGCTCCTCCAGCCTCTGAATCTCCTGCTGGAAGTCCTCACGCTCCTGCTCCCGCTCGACGGCCTGCTCCTGTCACGAGAGGCAGTCTGTTTGTATCATCTCTCAGAAGCACTCATGGAGGCACAGCGCCTCCCTGGGGCACCACCTCCCTTGGAAGAGAACAAGTGAAGGGCACATAGTCGAGAGGGGAAGGAGCCTGGTCTGGCGCTAACTGCCACTACGCCTTTCACGCTGCAGCCAGGGCTTCCATTCCACACGCATGTCCACTGCCCGGAAGCGTGGGCTCCTTCATCACGTCTGCTTATGAGATGGGGCTAAAGGAAGAGGAACGGCTCTTCAGATGTAATGCAGGGGAGGCTTCTGAGCACTGACAGAAGACAAGACACAGAAAGAGCAGACAGCACAGGTCCAAGGGAGGCAGCAGGGGCTAGAGGCACTGCCCAGACAGCACCCAGCACTGGGCACACGGTGCCTACAGTCAACCATTATGGACTTCCCCCAGACCGCAGAGAGCAGCGCATGCCAGGAGACTCAGAAGGGCGCTCCCTCAGACTCACATGTCATGGAACACTCACAAGATGTGAAAGGGCACCGAGAGACAGTGGTAACATGATGGCTCTCTGCACGCGAGTCTAACATGCAGCACAGATGCCTGCGACCTGGAAAGAAGTTCCTGCCATAAAGACGACTTCCAGTGACACAAATGAACCCTTACATCCATGAACTGCCGCTGGCTGCGCAAATGCTTGTCCAGAGAACCCATCTGCTGCCTCAGGGCGGAGAGCTCCTCGGCCTGCTGGGCGCACACACGATGCCTAGAGAGCTGCTCCTCCAGTTCAGCCTCCAGAACCTTCATCTGGGAGAGCAGAGCTGAGCGGTCTTTCTCAAACTGTCTCCTGGTCTCTGACTGCTCCTTGGTTAGATACTCCACTTCCTTCTGAAGAGCTACAGGTGCAAAGAAAACAGGAGGAAAGTCCCACGGCTCAGGGCACGGTGCTTGTGTTACAGCAGAAACATGACACGTGAGTTTCCTAACAGCGACGCCTGCACAGCAGACACGACAGTGCCGCCTGGAAAAGAGCAGACAGCAGCCTCCCTGGCATCCCAGGACCAGGTCCTGGTGGGGACAGGAGCACAGGCTCCCTGAAGCTTGCAGACTCCGGCTCAGGGAGAGAGCATGGCTCTTCCCTTCCCACTACTTCTCTCCCTCAGGGAGGGACAGGGCCAAGGCCACACAGCACTGCAGAGGACGGGACGTGCATCCAGCAAGCCAGGCGAGTCTGTGTCCTGTCAGATGCCGAGCCCACCAGCTAACACAGCCACAAGTGAGCCAAACAGCCGCTGCAAATAAAGTCAAGTACTGTTACCAAAATTTTAAAAAAACACATCTTTTAAATGAAAATTGGAAAAAATAAATTTTAAGACCAAGAAAAATACATCTTGGTATTCCCAAATGACGTATCAGGTAATTTTCTAGGAATTACGCCTTCACATGTATTCTCCAACATGGAAACATGAACAGAACTTGGTGCCTCCCGAGGAAGCAGGAGCTTGATGTGGCAGCTCCTGGCAGGTGTGCTGACTAAAGGCACTCACCACGAGCCGGGGCTGTGTCAGATGAAAGGGTCAAGCCATCAGTAAACCAAATGCCAGCCTAAAATTAACCGGGCGATGAGCCACAATCCAAGTGGGAACTACAAACTGATAAGCCCTCTGAGTCCCCAATGCTCAAACTATCCAAAAACAGAAACATTAAGTTCCTAAGTTTTTGTTTACACTTCACCAGCTTTCAAATCTTAATTATCTTAGTTTACAAAAATGTGACAATCTTTTATGACAAATTATCATCACCACTGATATAGCATTCTCAATAAATTTTCAAGATAGTATGTCACCAATTATGATAAATCAGCTGTAAACGTGCAGTTAGAACGATGTTGTTCACAGACCTTGCACATGAGATGGGGCTCACACATTCCTGCTGTGACAGGCAGTGCTGCCCAGGGTCCACCCAGGCAACACCATCATGAGGCCAAGCGTCGGAGGACAGGCCCCTGGCTGGCAGCACAGGCACCTGCACGCAGGCAGGATGGAGAGGAAGGTGTCAGTGCAGCTGTTCAGGCCATGCTGAGGGACAACCGCAAAGTGGGGCCAGCACAGGAACACCTCCTGGGCCCCAAGCTCCTTCCTCGAGACCATCAGGCCCCCAGGGTCCCCAGCCCAAGGACACTGCAGCCACCACAAGACACGGGTTCCTGCAAAGCAGCGTGCATTGCAGCTCTGCACCTACGAGGGCCTCACCAGAGAGAGGCTCACTGCTTTATGCACAGACAGACGAGGACAGTGGCCAGTTCCTTCAATAGCTTGCCACAAAAGCACTGAAGTATTTTTCTCTTCAGTAAAAAAAAATTTTTTTTTTTTTTTGGCGAGGAACGTTGCCACTGAGCTAACATCCGTGCCAATCTTCCTTTTTTTGACTTGAGGAAGATTGTCACCAAGCTAATATCTGTGCCCATCTTCCTCTACTTTGTATGTGGGACACTGCCACAGCATGGCTTCATGAGTGGTGCGTAGGTCCATGCCCAGGATCCAAACCCGCAAACCCAGGGCAATGGAAGTGGAACGGGTGATTTTAACCACTGCACCACCAGGCTGGCCCCTCTTCAGTACAATTTTGTAAAATCTGGCGCAAACACACAGCATATATCACACAGAAATCACTCGTCTGTTTTTACAAACCTGAGTCCTTGTGTGCTAGAGTGACGGGAACATCTATAAATGAAAATACACAGCATTTTCAGAGATGAAAACAGAAGAAGGTATGACCTAGAACATGCAAGTTAGAGATAGGAAGAGAGAGAATGTCAGCAGGATTCCAGGAGCGTCTTTTGGCCTCAGACAACACCTAGCACCACACGTTTCCATAATGCCACTGCCGTGGTCTGAATGTCTGTGTCCCCCAAACGCACATATTGAATTCTTAACCCCAGACATGATGGTGCTAGGAGGCGGGGCCCTTGGGAGGTGCTCAGGAGCCTCATGAGGAGGTTCGTGCCCTCCAGATGAGACCACAGAGGCTCCCTGCCCCTGTGCACATGAGGACATGGCGAGAAGATGCTGTCCGACCCAGGCAGCACTCTCCTGGGGGAGACCACGCGGCGCCCTGAGCATGAGGCTCCAGGCTCTAGGACCATGAGCAACGAGCATCTGTTGTTTACACCCAACCTGTGTCATTTCACTACAGCAGCTCGGACGGACTAACACAGCCGCTGTGCGCTGTGTCGCAGGAGGTCCCAGCTTTCGGGGCTCAGGTGCTGATTTTCAAAGGAGACACAGAAAAGCACCCAAGACGGACACAGTGCCCTGAAGGCTGCCTTGAAGCAGCCCCCAGCTGACGGGAGCCACGCAGGCGAGGAGGGCTGAGCTCCCCATGAGGCGCCACGACCTCCTGGAACTCCTGGAAAGTTGGTCAATGTTCACAAGGACCCACAGCAGAATCAGGACCAAGTGGCCCCCCGGACTGCACCTGGGGGAGCCCGTGGTCAGGGAAGGTCAAGTGTGGTGCTGGCGGGCAGCATCTCACACAGCTCACCCAGGGGAACCTGCAGTGTGGCAGTGCACACGAGACCCCAAACAGGAACACAGAAATTGCACGGCGGACTGAAGGGAAGGAACAGAGATCACTGAGGGTTTAACAAGGCAAAAATGAAAGCAATCCGAGAGGACCCCAGAGAAAGCACAAGAATTTCCTGGTGACAAAACAAAGTGAAGGAGGAAAGACTGGGTCCAGGAAGGGCTCCATGAGTCTGTCCCCCATTCCTGGTTAGGCTCCCACTTCTGCCGAGGTGCTCTGGCCACACAGGTGGGCCAGGCCTCACTGCAGGGGCGAACCAGAGACACAGAAGTGAAGGGGCGGTCACAGCCTCGGGACAATGCAGAGGAGGAGCCAGGCCCAGGTGTGGCAGAGCCCCAGGAGATGGACACAGACGCCACCACCGAATGGCCGGGCCAAGGGCCACTGGGTCCAGGCCTGGCTGAGGGAAGCCACTTGGCTCCTGGGCTAAGACGAGGCTGTTCCACGGCACAGGGCTGTGTGGCTGCTCAGCAGGTCCCACCACTGTGTGTCTCCCACAGGGTCCCCACTCTACAGTCCCAACACCCAGGAAGAGGAGAACAGGCTGCAGGAGCCTCATGAAGAGGTTTGTGCCCTCCAGATGAGACCACAGAGGCTCCCTGCCCCTGTGCACACGAGGACATGGCGAGAAGATGCTGTCTGATGCAGGCAGCACTCTCCTGGGGGAGACCATGTGGTGCCCTGAGCTTGGGCCTCCAGGCTCTAGGACCATGAGCAATGAGCATCTGTTGTTTACTCAAGGAAGTAAAAACAGGTCTTGGTGGATGAAGTGTGGGCCCAGCCACCCAGCGGAGGAACATGGACTGTCACATGGGCTGGGGTGCTACCTCTGAGGACAGGGCAAAAGGGCTGCACAAGGAAGCTCCGTCCCACTGGGAGTTCCAGAGGACAGGAAAGCGTGGGTACAGAAGAAAGAATGACTGAGAAATCCCCGTCAGACCTGAGACGGAACAGGACGGCATGGGAAACCCACCCTGGACATATCACAGTGACACGTAAGAACATCAGAGCAAACAGATTCCTAAAAACACCTGCCAGGAAACAAGGCATCTCCACAGAAACATCGGATGTGAGGAAACGGTGGTTTATGGCCTCAAAGCGTTAAAGGAAAAGACATCAAATCTAGAATCATATCTTTCCAGCTACGTCATTTAAGGATGAGGGTAAAGTAAGGAAAACTTCAGGTACTCAAGGTCCACGAAAGTCCCCACAGCCCCTCTTGAGGGCAAGGATGCAGGGAGAAAACACTCACAACCCACTGCCATTTGGGCAGCAATCTGCATGTGACGTGGGACACACAGAGCACACGTACTCGAGTCCACACACATGTTCACACACATGCTCACACACACTCACGTGTTCACAGAGTTCACGTGTGTCTTCACAACTTGCTCACAGGGATGTGCTCACACACAAACATGGACAAAAGCCTCACCTGACACCAGCTTGGCTGGGGCTGAGCAGAGACAGGAGGGAGGAAAAGCAGAGAGCAGGTTTCAGCCAGTGAATGGAGGACACTGGCCTGAATGCAGAAGAAGCAAGCGCAGAAGGACACCTGGATGCACAACCGTACAATCAGCGGAGGAAGGTCCTTCTCGGAGAGCAGAGAGCAGGTCCAGGGAGGCACAGTGAAAAAGGAAACACCAGCAGAGAGCAGGGCAGATGCAAGAAGATGTGGCTTGGCAAATAAAACTTGGCTAACATGGGGCTGGCCCAGTGGCACAGAGGTTGACTTCATGCGCTCCGCTTTGGTGACCCGGGATTCACAGGTTCAGATCCCAGGCACGGTTCAACACATTCCTTGTCAAGCCATGCTGTGGCAGCATCCCACATAAAATAGAGAAAGATTGGCAAGAATGTTAGCCCAGGGCCAATCTTCCTCAAAAATAAAATAAAATAAAATAAAAGAGATAAATAAATAAATAAAACTTGGCTAATGGAACAAAGATACCTAAGTCAGCTTTTTAAAAAGTTATTAATATCCATAAGAGTCTCAAAGAAAAGCATGGAAAAAAACTGAAAATAAAGGGGTGAAAAAAGCAAGCCAAGTTAGTATTTCTAACAGAAATTTACACCAAAAAAAGGGAAATAGACAGAGCCAGCCCTGATGGCCTGGTGGTTAAAGTTCAGTGCACTCTGCTTTGGTGGCGCAGGTTCAGTTCCCAGTTGTAGAACCACACCACTCGTCTCTCAGTAGCCATGCTGTGGCGGCAGCTCACAGAGAAGAACTAGAAGAATTTACAACTATACACAACTATGTACTGGGCCTGTGGGGGCGAGAGAGAAAAAAATGAAGGAAAAGGAGAAAGATTGGCAACAGATGTTAGTGTAGGGTGAATCTTCCCTTGCAAAAAAACCAAAAAAATGGAAAAGGACAGAGCAACATCACAAACCTCACAAAGAGCCAAGCAAGAGATCAAGTCTGGCAACAACAAGCAGACAGTTCAGAGTGCCCCATGTGGACAGCACTGAGAAACCAGGCTACAAATCACCCTTTGCTTAAAGAAATCGCAGCCCTGTTGGAGCCGAACGTGACACAAGAGCCCCACATCAGTGAGCTCGAAGAACTAAGATGCCCAGAAATAGCAAAGACGGGCAAAACTCAAATAGAGGACGAGAAGATGGAAAGCTGATTGTTTATCAATGAGAAAAACTAAAAAGGAGAAGAAAGTATTGGGGGAAGAAAAACGAGTTTCTTGAATCAATCAGGGTGGTAAATAATGACCAAAGTTCTGGCACAAAGCACAGCCTTCTGAGCGTGTGAACGGCCTCCAGGGATGGGCAGGGCGCAGTGGGGGTGGCGGGCGCCTTGCAGGTGGGGACGCGAGGGCAAGGGTGCAACACACAGTTCTGGCAAAGCCTGACCCCATGTGTAACTGCTTCCTGCAGACCTGCCGCCGAGGACACTGCACCTGCAGCCAGTGTGCGAAGCTTAGGTTTAGACTTGAATTTTAAATATTTTTAAATCTAAAATATCTAAGAATCCGAGCTATAATGAAATCCTTTTGTTAAAACTCCATGCTTTCCTAGTTAAGAATAACATTAGGCACTTTGTGTTATTTTAAGCAGACTTTTCAAGTAGCCTCATTTTTCATGGTCTTGGCTGCTTGTCCCAAACAGGCTCCTGCTCCCAGAAGCGATCTGCCCTCATGGAGACGTGTGGACACTGAGTGGCCATGCCAACCAGGACAACCAGCCTCTTCCAGGAGCAGCAAACAGGTGACACTCCACGGCCCTCGCACGCCCTCCCCGAGCCACACGATGGAGGCTCTCTGAAGACTGCTCCCGTCTTCTGCCCGTTGTACCCTCTGGAAGGGTTGAGCTTCCACGAAAGCCTGCAGCTGCTGCCCACGCGCCTGCCCTCCATGGCTCCGGCCTCCACCCCCTGGAACTGGCATTTCTTACCGGCTTCTCTCTCTTCTGCCCCGGTGGCTAAGGCCTCCTTTTGGCTCCACAGGGTGGCATTTTCCTCCCTCAGCTCCGCCTGCTGCTGGGTCACCCACTGGAGCTGCTCCCTCAGGCTCTCCAGCTCCACAACGAGGCCCTGCTCAGATGCCTCCTTACGGCCCAGCGCCTCCTGCAAGCTGGCCTTCTCCACCTTGAACCCCTCGAGGATGCCTGAGGAGATGGGGAGAGACGCAGCTGCGGAGGCCCCACTTGAGCAGAAGGAGCAGTCAAATGATGGGTGCCCCAGGTGCTGTCCTTCTAGGAACAGGACAGGGGCGTGACCACCCAGCTCTCAGCCCCACAGCTGATGTCCCACTGCTGGCCCAGTGAGATGCAGGAGCCACCAGACACCCCCACACCACACCCATGCACACCCCTCAGGCCACATGCCCCACACACACAAGGCCACTGTGAGCGCCAGACGCAGGAGCAGGGGCATGGGGGCAGGCAGAGATGAGACTTCCTGGGGCGTCCTCTGCCCATAGCTGTGATGGGAAGATGAACGTTCCCATCGCACTGCATGACGGCACACTCTCAGGTGGTCGGCTCACAGAGGAGTGGGAGATAAGCGCCAAGGGATGGGTGCCACCCGCCGGCCCGTCTTCTGCAGCACTGACTCCCCACAGCTCCGGGGTGCCTCCAAGGCGGTTAGTTTCTCTGAGGAAAGTCACCGGAGCCTCACACCCCGGCCGGCTGCTCACCCTCCGCCTTGTGCAGCTCCAGCACCAGACGAGCTCTGGCCGCGTTCTCCTCCTCCAGGCGCTCCAGTAACTCCTGGTGCTTTCTGACAACCTGCGCCGTCTCCTCGTTCTTACAGCTGAATTCCTTCTCAAACAGAGAGTGCATCTGACGTGCTTCCTCCAGCTGTTAAAATACATTTGAAAATTGAAACTGTGTATCAAAAATAACCAAAATTTGTATCAATACCATCAGAACTCTACTTGCATAGAATCCTGGTGAAATGATAAATATTCCACACAAAACAACAACTTCAATATTCAATATTTTATCAATTACTAAATAAACTTGCTAATTTAACAAATTTTCAACCAAGAAAACTTCTGCACACACAGACATGTATACAGCACTGCACAGAACACTCATGTGCTTATGAACTATTGATGTCACATGTGTGAAGGAGAGGGTACATTTCAGAGGACACGTGACAGGAAGCTGACCATCAAGAACCTGGACCCTGGGCAGGGATGCGCCACCTTGCGCTCTGCAGGTAGAGAAGCTACAGGAGAGGCCGCAGGGTGGAAGGGCACCTTGGGCTGGTCACCACACTAGGCAGGAGCCCTGACACGTCCCCACTGCCTGAGACCTTCCCCCGGCCCAGGTCCCAATCTTGCCCTCCTCCCGGCATCCAGGTCCAGTCTGAGGCTCCCAGGCCATCCACAGGCTGGGGGCCTAGATTAATCTCTGAATCCAAAATGCCCATACCAGGTTATCCCAACAGACCATCAGCACCCAGGGTGGGCCTCCCTCAGCCTCCCGCTGTACTTCATGCAGCTCTGGCCTTCTCCAGACGCAGACTCTAAGGAAATCTCCTGGTTTTACCTTGAAAGCAGCCCCCGAGGCCACCTCTCCTCATGCCCCACCCTGGGCCACCTCCCCCACCCTCTGACCTCTCCGGACACCTGTTCCAACCACCTGGCCACTTCCCACCCCTTCTCGCTGCCCCATGGATGACTCTAACCTGATCAGGGCCCCTCACACCCCTGCTGCTGCCCTGTGCCTACTCCTCACCTCCCACGGGACTCTGCTTTGCTCGTCCCCCTCCCCCAAAACCTGCCTTGCTTTCCCTCCCACAGGCCCTGCGTTCCTCCTGGCTGTGGGACCAGCCAGCCGCTCTGAAGAACACACTCCGTGGAGCAGGACTTCTAAGGAACGGGACACGCTGAGAGCACACATGGGCCCAGGACAGACCAGCGCACTCGCTCAGACATGTCTCCAGGGCCACAGGCTGGGCTAGACCTGCAGACACGGTGCCCACCCACAAGAGGCTCACATGTGATGTCTGTTTCCCTTTTATGACACTGGAGGGACAATCAAAAACACCTGATTACTCATCAGACGCTGCCCAAATCTGTCTACTTTTTGAGAAAAGAAGGGAGGGCGCAAAGGGAAGAAAACGGCAGCCGGGAGGAACCAGAAAGAGAAACCAGGTTTCAATACTGTTGCTCTATGCACCTTCACCAGGAGGAAACCACCTACTATTCTGAGACCTAAACAGCAATGCTTTGCATAAAAAGGCTCATTTTTTAACTGGGCAGACTTTGGAAAAAAGGATCTTTATTGCTTCCCACGTATTCCTATTTAATGTCTTTCCTAATTGACTAAAATGGTCTAAAAGGATTAACAAAAATAATGCCCTTTTTCAATGATGATCTCCAAATAGAAATATATTCAGTATGGAATTAAAATAGTGCATGAAGTAAATAGAGCTGAAGAAAAGGGATGGTTATACATGGTCTAAATTAAGGACACTGAGGTTTTATCTTCATTCACAGCAAACCTCCTTCCTCAGAAAAGACTCCTTCTTAAGGAGGGACATGTAAAAGAATATCATTGGTAGTGACAAAAGATAAAATGACACAAGGGAGGTGAATGAGCACCCCAGAATCAAGAGTTTCTTGCCCAGTGGAGGAGAGAATGGAGAGAGAGGCCCGACCTGCCCAGAGAGTAAAGGCGTCCCTCTCACCCTACAGGGTTTGGATGAGAATCAGGAAAGGCAAGTGAAGGGCCGCAGAGCGCTGGGAGCTGGGCATCATCACCCATCCAGCTTATGTCGTCAGTGGACTCAGCCTGTCCACTTACTCAACCCCCGTCCTTCTCTGAAGAAGAGAATCAGCAGCAGGAGCCAACAGGGCCACAGAACAGGTAGCAGGCAGCACGGATGTGGCCGAGCCGGGCCGTGTCTCACCTGCCTGCTGGAGTCCAGGGCCATCTCCAGGAGGCCATCCACCGCCAGGCCAAGGCTCCGGTAGATCCTCCTGACTGGCTGCTCACATTCCAGTGTACTTTCTGGGCTCATAAAAAAGCTTTCACAGACGTGGCTGCTAATTTCAGCCACTGAAGACATCTCAGCGCACTCAGGGAAAGTTCCATCCAGCTCTGGCAGGGCCGCATCAGGCCCAGGCCACGTCTCATCAAGTGCCGGCGCTACAATGTGAGCAAATACAGAAGCCTACACACACTGCTGCATGGCAGGCAAGCGGACCCCGACCAGCAGCATCAAAGGACATGCACGCCTGCATCTCTGGGGATGACATCCATCCGTCTTAACCAAGAGGCAGGTTCACGGGCCCCGTGCTCAGCTGTCTCTACGCGCCACTGTGGCAGGGAAGGGGGAGGGTGGCGTTCCCAGCACAGTGGCCCCAGGAGGCCCTCAGTACCCCGGGCTGGCACTCACCTGCAGATGGGACCTGGGCCCCTGGCTGTGCATCCAAGGGGCTCTGGTCTTCCAGACAGAGCCCCACGCGTTCACCGATCCGGCTCTTCAGGGCGACAGCAGCCTTCAGCGTCTCTCCAAACAAACCCAGGAGCCTCCTCAGGGCGTCCCGGAGAGCAATCCTGAGACAGGAAGCACAGGGCGGGCAGCAGCCATCAGCTGTGACCCTGGCCCTGTGACTCAGACCACAGCAGCACGGCCGCGAGGCAGCTCTGCCAATGTGAGCAGATCTTTGCTGCTGCTCTGGACTTTTAAAAGATGCTGTACTGTTGTTAACTTAGGCACGCTTCTCCTGGAGGTGGCATCTAGCCAATCGGTAGGGGGCAAAGCCCAAGCCAGGGCACACTGGCTTCATCTGGAACCCTCTCACCCTGGACAGAGGATGCGCAGACCCCAACAGGTCCCACGTCACAGGCTCTCTGGCCCTCAGGAGCAGAGCTGGGGCCAACGTGGCCCTCAGGGCTCTGCCCTTTTACAAAGTATCTGTTCAAAAATCAGGAGTCACACCTGACCGATAGCCCACACACATGGGAAAGAGTGGCTCTCCCGTGCCTCTCTCTGGGGCCACACGAACCACAGAGTCTGGAGTGTTTTGTTCCTCATAGGACCAGAAGCCACCCTGCACCCCGTCAGCGAGCTGCATCCTTCTAGACCATCCCTTCTGGCTGGGGCTCATCTGTCCGGGCCACAGTGACCCCGCCCAGGATGGAGCTATGGGCAAAGTGCTATAGCTACTGTGCAAGCCAGATAGGCCAATGCGATCTCCCACACCCGCTAGATGTCAGGGCCAAAGTAGGCAGGAAACAGGCTTGTCCACCCTGTCTATTCATACACTCACATCCCTCCCACGGTCCCGGCACAGGCACTGCTCCCAACACAGGGAAACATAAGGAACACAACACGCCAAGAGCCGCCCCTCGCAAGCTGGCATTCCAGGTGAGAAAGGCAGGCAGTGAGAATGGGCTGCGGGAACTATGAGGTGAGGTGGGGGGTGGGGGCAGTGGGCAGACTGCACTGAGCAAGCAACAGTGTGGGAGCCTCGGACAGCTCCCGCGGCTGCCCAGGCCCTGCAGGTGGCCACCGAGGTCAAGAGGACAAGAAGGGCGGGCACAGCACACACAAGGACCCTGCGGCGGGGGCATACTGGGGAAGGCATAAGGACAACTGCAGAGACAGTGGGTCAGGGAGGGCAGGCCAGCTCTGCTCTGAAAGAAAACGCCAGAAAGCACCCTCAAAGCCTGCCCCCACCTCCTCCTCGCGCCCCATCCAAGCTGTGCTGACCCCTGATCCCCGTGATGATGCTCAAAAACACCAAATACTTGTGGGTGTCAGAGAGTCTGAGGCTGCTGCTCGGCCAGCTGGGCACATACCCCAAATACCTGAGGGCCACTTTCTCTCTGCCATGTCCCTCCAGCACGCAGAGCTGGTGACCACCAAGCCTGTCACACTCCACCCTCCACTCACCACAGTGACTCAGGGCACCTGAGGGGTCGGCATCAAGCCACAAGGCAGCTACAACAAGGGCTAGAAAAAGCAGCCAAGGTCTTCACAAAGAATTCGAAAACCACAAAGAGAATGAAGGAAAGCTCAACGGAGACCCCGTGCCAGTGCGAGAAAGATGCTGTTCTCTGCATGTTGAGGTCAGGACTGAGCAAGGCCTGATTGCCTGGCATGGTTTCTCTGCACCCTCGAAGGCGCACAATCAGGACAAGGGGCCAGAGGCAGCCGAGACTGGCGAGGGCCCACCTTCAGTACTGAGCCCCAGGACCACAAGATACTGGGCAGAGACAAGCGGATGGGACACAGCAGAAAGGGGCCAGAGAAAGGCCCACCCCACAAGTTGCACTTTCCAAAGCGTGGTGCTGAGCTGACTGCCCAGATAGGCAGACAAAAACGAGAGACCATCTGATATCAGATGCAAATAAACAAACAAACAACTGAACAATTCCAGGAGCACTGTATTCCTGCATGAAAAGAAAACTAAAATTGAGACAACATATAGGAAAAATCTGAAAGGCGTCACAGTAGGAAACTTTCTTAACCCAGACTCCCAAACAAACAAGACAAAGAGGCAGATCGGAAACTGTGCCTGCATTATAGCATCGTTTTCTAATTTGACAAAACGTGAAGATTGGGCAAAGCAAGGTAGTAGGTACATTGGTGTCTGTTACATTACTCAGTACTTTCTCCATGTTTAGAACCTTTTTAAATGACAAGAATAACATGGCACAGGGCCCTATCCCGCCTGCTATCAACATGCACTCCAGCTCGTGGAGAAGGCAACTGAGCACCAGCATCAGACAGGGCACCGCTGACCTCTCACTGTGTGACAAGTCGACGTCAGCCTTCAGCATGGAGATGAGATTCGCGCCTTCCTGGTTCTCCCTCTCGCGCCTCTGCTGTAGCTTCTCCAGGTCAGAACGGCGCTGCTCTATCTCATGACTTAGGGTTACAATTTGGTCTTTTAGCTGTTGAGGAAAATGATTAAAGCTTTAGTTAAAACAATTTAGTTATAAATAAATTTCTATAAAACTTTTATCATTCCATTTAATAAAAAAAATGGCAAAAGATGAAGAAGGGGTGATTAAAGATGAAAATTATTAACATGGTTTTCCTCCATTATTTATTGCCTACAAAAACAGAACATCCAAGCCAGCCGCAGCCACCAGGAGGAAGGGGCAAATTCACCAGAGATTATTCTCACAAATAATAATTAAAAACAAAATCCCTTTTCTGGTCATTCAGGATAAAAGTTAGTTACCAGCCAGGAAAGATCCCTCTTAAATATTTCTCTCTAAAAATAAAAAGAGTTGGGACTGGCCCTGTGGCCAAGTGGTTTAGTTCATGTGCTCTGCCTTGGCGGCCTGGAGTTCACAGGTTCAGATCCTGGGCACAGACCTAGCACTGCTCATCAAGCCATGCTGTGGCAGCATCCCACACACAAAATAGAGGAAGATTGGCAAGGATGTTAGCTCAGTGACACTCTTCCTCGCCAAAAAAATAAAAAAATAAAAATAAAGAGTCAACGACCATGGTGTCTCAGTGGGCTGGGCGGGTGAGTGGCACCAGCCACCTTGGGTGTCCACAGCTACCATGGGCTCCCTGAGCAGTGGCCATGGGCCGTGGGGGTTTTATCTCGTAACTTAGAAAAGTGACAAGTGTGTCTTAGAGCAACTGAGCAACCTGAGCCCCTTCATCCAAGAGCCCCTCCCCTGAGCAAGTCACCAATGGTGGTGACTTCTCAGGACTGGTCAGTTTACTAACGAGAACACGGGCGTCCTCCCTACAAAGACAAGGGAACAGGGGACACCACAAAACATGACCACACACACATTCGGTGGGGCTGCTGGGGAGAGCGCCAGTCTGACACCTCCCTTGAGGATGGCCAGCGGTGGCAGGGCGGCAATGTGCAATGAGCTCAAGTGCAGTCCAGGTGGAGAGGCTGGGCTGGGACAGCTCCAAGCTGGCATGGCTTTCTCTGTATCTAGCAGCAGGAAGAGCAGGTTTGTGGCGGGAGAAAATGGGTGAGGGAACACCAGTGCAGGGCGGCCTTAGGATGATGCAAGAAAACACAGGCAGAGGAAAAAGAAGGGGGAAATTCTGAAACCAATTTGCTGCCGGGAACAAAAGCAAATTGTAAAGACAGTTTCGATGTTGCACTTGGAGGGAAATTAGAAAAAACAAGGATTCTATAAACTGGCTACATCAGACTAAGATGTACAGGTAGCTGGAAAAACTAAAGAGAATGGAATAAATAAAAAAGTGAACTGCAAGCTTCAAGACGACAAACCATGACTAGAAAATGAACAAAAAACACAAGTTGAAGGCGCACACCAGCTGTTGGAGCCCACGGAACTGCACACAGAAGGCTCAGAGCCGGGGCGTGGACGGTACACGGCAGGCAAGGGATGGCAGACCCCCACGGGCCTGGTGGCAGTGAGCCCGGCACCCAAGGTTGGCCAGTCGGTGGCCGCACCCATGGCTGATGGGTGGCCAGCACAGGCCACCGTGAGGACCGGTTCCACTGAGTCTATGGACAGCAGACCTGCCCTCTGCCAGGCCTGCTCCCTCCTGCTGCCAAACGGACATGGAAACTGGGGGAAAAATTTAACAGATAAAACCTCTAGCAACAGTGATCAAGAAAAAGAGAAGTGCAAATAAACTTCTCAACAAAACTGACTGAAAAAAATAGAAACAGAGCTATACATCTTCCCACAAAGAAAATTTTAAGCTCTATCTTGTGACTTAGGGTTACAATTTGGTCTTTCAGCTGTTGAGGACAGTTTTCCCCTTAAATGATTTTACTAAACATTTAAGGAAAAGATAATTCTTATTTTTTTTTTTAAAGATTGGCCCTGAGCTAACATCTGTTGCCAATCTTTTTGTTTTCTTCTTCTTCTTCTCCCCAAAGCCCCCCAGTACATGGTTGTATATCTAGTTGTGAGTGCCTCTGGTTGTGCCACGTGGGACGCTGCCTCAGCATGGCCTGATGAGCGGTGCCATGTCCCCGCCCAGGAGCTGAACTGGCGAAACCCTGGGCCACCAAAGCAGAGCGCACAAACTTAACTACGCGGCCATGGGGGCCAGGCCTGGAAAAGATAATTCGAGTCTTACACAAACTTGTCCAGAGAGTAGAAAGGGTGGGGAGGACACTCTTTGCTTATTTTACGAAACTGCACCATGAAAGGAAAGGAAATTACAGTAAGTCACAATGAAAAACAGATTCAGAAGGTTTAAAAACAGTATCAGAAAATAAAATCTAACAATATCTGAAAAATTATGTACAAACTAGCTTAAACACACAGATATGTTGGTTTAATATTAGGAAATCATGAATGTGACTTACCACATTAACAGATTAAATGAGAAAAATAATTTTATATAAATAAATGCAGAAAAAGCAAATTCAACATCCATTCATGTAAAAACCTATCACTTCCTTAACCCGAATAAAATCATCTACAAATACCTACAGCAACACTATTCTTAACAACGAAAAGTGCAAAGCACCGCACTAAAAGCTAGCTGCTTTTCTATACGAACAACCATCAGTTTTAAAGTACCTATTCTCAAATATCGAACTACAAATCTAACAAAAGATACGCAAAATCTCCATGGAGAAAATTATACAGTGCACTGAGAGAAATTAACAAAATCAAATAAAAAGAGAGAGACTCTGGAATCGTAGACAGGAAGCCCCTATAACATAAAGATGTCAATTCTCCCTAAAGGAATGTACAGATTCAACACAATTTCAACCCCAATCCCAGCAGGAGACTTTGGAGGAATTAACAGGCAGATCCTGGTGCTCACGTGAAAAAGCACAGGGCCAGCAACAGCGAAGAAGCTTCTGAAGAGGAAGAGAGCTGGAGTCCAACAGCCAGGTGCTACTGCCACCAGAGCTGGGCAGCATCTGCACAGGGACAGACACACTGACCAAAGGAGCCTAAGAGAGGCCAAGACCACCCATGTGTGTGAGCAGCAGGGACGGACGCCACACACTGACCTTAGGTCAGTCCTTGCAGGAAAAATTAATTCCCCTACCTCATGTGGATTAGAAGTTAAATTATAAAATAATCTTGGAGAATATTTGTATGAAATAGGAAAGGATTTCTTAAGCAAGGCAGAGACAGCACAAACTCTCAAAGGAAAAATGGTAACAGAGTTAATTCATCAATCAAGAACTTGTGTTCATCATAAGATTAACAGAAAGAAGGGAAAAAACACATATTAGAAGAAATCCAGAATATACAAAGAACTTCCCTAAGTCAGTAAGAAAAGGACAGCCTACTATTTTAAAATAGAAAAGTGGAAAAAGATACAAACAAGCATTTCACAGAAGGGGAAACACAAATGGGCCATAAATATATTAACAGATACACAATCTTATTAGCTAACAAGGCAATGCAAATTAAGACTAGCATGAGATAACATTTCATGGCCACAAAACTGGCAAAAACTAAAAAGTAGGCCTATACACTGAGAACTAAGACATTACTGAAAGAAATAGAAGACAAAATAAAGAAATGCAAAGATACTCCATGCTCATGGGTTGGAATAATAAATGAAGTTAAAATGTCCATACTACCTAAAGCAATCTACAGATTCAATGTAATCCCAACAGAATCCCAATGACATTCTCTCCAGAGACAGAAGAAAGAATCCTAAAATTTATAGGAACAACAAAAGACTCCAAATAGCCAAAGCAATCCCGAAAAAAAAGAACAAAGCTGGAGGCATCACAACCCTGACTTAAAACATACTACAAAGCTATAGTAATCAAAACAGCATGGTACTGGCACAAAAACAGACAAACAGATGGATGGAACAAAATTGAAAGCCCAGAAATAAAACCATACATCTATGGACAGCTAATTTCCAACAAAGGAGCCAAGAACATACAATGGAGAAAGGAAAGTCTCTTCAATAAATGGTGCTGGGAAAACTGGACAGTCACATGCAAAACAATGAAAGTAAACCATTATCTTACACCATACACAAAAATCAACTCAAAATGGATTAAAAATCAACTTGAATGTAAGAGCTGAAACCATAAAACTCCTAGAAGAAAATATAGGCAGTACACTCTTTGACATCGGCCTTAGCAGCATTTTTTCAAATACCATGTCTACTCAGGCAAGGGAAACAAAAGAAAAAATAAACAAATGGGACTACATCAGACTAAAGAGCTTCTGCATAGTGAAGGAAACCATCAACTGGGAGAAAATATTGCAAATAATTTATCTGACAAGCGGGTTAATTTCCAAAATATATAAAGTACTCATACAACTCAACAACAAAAAACAAACAACCTGATCAAAAAGTGGGCAGGAGATATGAACAGACATTTTTCCAAAGAAGATACACAGATGGCCAATAAACACATGAAAAGATGTTCAACATCACTAATTCTCAGGGAAATGCAAATCAAAACTACAATGCAGAGATATCATCTCACACCTGTCAGAATAGCTACAATTAACAAGACAAGAAATAACAAGTGTTGCAGAGGATGTGAAGAAAGGAGAACCCTCATACACTGCTGGTGGGAATGCAAACTGTTTCAGCCACTATGGAAAACCGTACGGAGATTTCTCAAAAAATTAAAAAGAGAAATACCATATGATCCAGCTATCCCACTACTGGGTATCTATCCAACGAACTTGAAATCAACAATTCAGAGACTTATGCACCCCTATGTTCACTGCAGCACTATTCACAACAGCCCAGACGTGGAAGGAACCCAAGTGCCCATCAACTGATGAATGGATAAAGAAGATGTGTTGTATATATACAATGGAATACTACTCAGCATAAAAAAGACAAAATTGTGAGATTTGCAACAACATGGATGGACCTTGAGGGTATATGTTAAGCAAAATAAGCCGGACAGAGAAAGACAAACACCACATGATTTCACTCATATGTGGAATAAACACGTAGATAAGGAGAACAGATTACTGGTTACTAGAGGAGAAGGGAGTGGGGAGAGGGCAAAAAGGGGCACACACGTATGGTGACACATAAAAACTGGACTATTGCTGATGAACAACTGCAGTCTATACAGAAACTGATATATAATAATGTACACCTGAAATTACACAATGCTATAAGCTAATCTGACCTCAATAAAATAATTTTTAAAAATGTTAAAAGTGGGAACATTCTAGGCATAGGCAAGGATGTGCAGTAACAGGAACTTGCATTCACTTTTGGTGGACCATAAACTGGTGCAACCACTTTAGAAAATAGTCTGGCATTCCCTGACCAAGCTGAACACGTGCAGAACCCTCCACCCTAGCAATGCTACTTCTAGGTATACAATCTCGAGAAGTTCCTGCACATTTGTGATGAGAGACATGGATACAAAAACTCATGGCAGCTTTATTCATAACAGCAGAAAACCAGAAAAAAGCCGAAGTCCACTGATGAATAAATGATGGTATGCAATGGAACACTACTCAGCAATAAAGATGACTGATTACACCTCCACACATCATCAACGGATGTCACAATCAACACTGCATGAGACAGGCAATTACAGGTCTCCCTGTACGAAGGGCAAAAACAGCTGAACTAAAGCGCACATTGTTCAGGAATACATCAAGAGGTAGAAACCCTATAAAAACCAGGAGAGCAGTTACTCTGGTGGGGAAGGAAGCATGGGAGAGGGCAGGCAGGGAGAGCTTAGGAGCTCTGAGAGCAAGAAGAGTGGTCTTTTTAGGTACCTGATGTGGGTGACACAATTCCTTACTTCGCAGCATTGTTTTAACTGAGTAAGCACATTTTAAAGACACTCATAGGATTAGTTCACAATGAGAGCAACTCTTCAAAGAGTCTGGTTTGCCTAAAGCATCGTTTATTCTTCTCTAACTGGGGACACAGCCTGGCCACCACACACAGGTACGCGAGTGCTCCCAGCTCGCTTGTGATGTGGGCAGCAAGGAACACCTGTGGGAAGCACGCCCCAAAAGCAGTAGCTGCCCCAGGCTGCTCACCCACAGGGTCTCCTGGCGCTCTGCCCCCAGGTGTCCACTCCAACGCCTTTCACTCTCTCCTCAACTCCCACGCTCCCTTCCAGCAAGCTATCACCCATTTTAATCGCTCTATCTGCTTTACAATTTCTCTCTTAATTCGAAATTGAAGCTTTCTTCTTAACTGTGCTAATACTTTTATTAGGATCTCTATCGTTTGCGCTGATACTTGAGTTATAAAATTGCATACGTTTTGGATGGCGTATCTTCAACCCTCTTTTGCTCAAGAGCTGTGTTATATCTAGCATTTTCTTACAGAACGAGATGTTTTTCAGGAACATATATATTGTACCATAGCAGCAACACCTGGCACTGAAGAAAAAGGTTAATCAATGCTTTGAAAGGCCCTTCCTCCTGCCCCAGCCCCACACCCTGTCCTGCTGTCCTGTGGCATGGCTCCCAGCACAGGAAGGGACACACCTCCCAACCTACTGCTGACACTGACCTCCACTGCCCAACATCTGGTTGAGAATAACTTTTACATCCTCCCAAAGTGCAGCCAACACACCCACGCACAGTGTTTAAAGTCAGTCGGGCCTGGCTCTGCTACTCAGTAGCCATCAGAGTTTTAGCAAATTAATGGAACCTCTCCTGGGCCTCAGAGACCAAGGGTCTGAACAACGAATGGGAGAGAACACACGGAAATGAGAAAATTCTGGAATATGCTTAGCACAGCGCCTAGCACACAGTCACAAGCAAACTCTGCCTCCAGTCTACTAATAAGTTCAAATCCAGTGACCTCATGTGACGACTGTAGTACAAACCCTGTGGAAATTAATAAGGGAAACCGGAACTAAGCTGGATGGGGAAGGCCTGCAGGGGGAGCTCTCACACCCTTCACACAAATACACCAAAGAGAAAGTGGGGACACTTGCATCTCCCACAGGAAGCACAGCCACTTTACTTCTCAGGAAGACACCTCTCCCACCTAGCAACAGCCCAGCCAATCAGAAACACTGAAGCTCAGCCAACAAGAAGCTTCTGCAGCCCAGCCACTGAGAAACAGCACAGTTCTGCCAATGAGAAACCCCGCAGCTCAGCCAATGAGAAACCCCGCAGCCCAGCCAATGAGAAACGCCACAGCTCAGCCAACGAGAAATGCCACAGCTCAGCCAATGAGAAACACCGCAGCCCAGCCAATGAGAAGCTGTGGCCGCCATGAACTGCTACTTCGCTCGATGGACTTTCTTTTAGAACAGCCCATCCCTCTCCCGCTTTTTCTTTATAAAAGCAGCTCCCTTCTTTGTTTTCCAGATTTTCCTATGGCTCCCCACCACATGCACATCCCAAATTGCAGTTCTTTTGGCTAGTCCCAAACAAACTCATTTTGAGATAGAATAACAGGCAAATTTACTTTTTAAGTTGATAACCCTGACACTTTTTTTTCCTTTTTGTAATTCAAGTACCTGACTTAAGCTTTGACTGCAGAGGCATCCACTTCAAAGAGAGTTAACACAGATAAACACATTGCCAGTCTCATGACCAGATAAAGAGCCAGGAGGCCTCCAGCACTGAAGCTCCTTTGTTTTAGAGATCTTGGTTGATTTCAAGAACTGACCATTTGGATCACTTGTTTTTTCTCTTCCCAGGCTTTAAATTCCCACTCTTATGTTTTAAATCCACCAATAACAAGTGAGCCTATGAAACCCTAGACCCCCACCCTCAAACCTCAGGCCCATGAGCTTTCTCTCTCTCAGTTCTTGACAGACTGAGACCGCCACAAAATAATGATAAAGTCAGAGAAAGAAAGTAGCAGTACTAGTACAACTCTGAAAGCTCTACATAGTGAGACCATCTCTAAAAACAGTATAAATACACATCTACACTTTCAAAAGTAACAATGAAGAACAACTCAACAACAAAACCACCCAATTCAAAAACTGTCAAAGCACTTGAACAGATATTTCTCCAAAGAAGACTTGCAACTGGCCAATAAGCCCATGAAAAGATGTTCAACATCATTAACTATCAGGGAAATGCAAATCAAAACCAGGAAATACTACCTTACACTCATTATGATGTCTATTATCCAAAGAACAGAAACTAACAAGTGTTAGCAAGGATGTGGAGAAACTGAAATCTTTGCACACTGTTGGAAATGTAAAATGCTACAGTCACTCTGGAAAACAGTTTGGCAGTTCCTCAAAAATTTAAACACAGAATTATCATATGACCCAATAATTTTGTTTCTAGATATATACCCAAAAAAACTGAAAGCAGGGACTGAAACAGTTACTTGTATACTAATATTCATAGCAATATTATTCACAATAGTCAAAAGGTAGAAACAACCATCAACAGATGTCCATCAACAGATGAACAGATAAACAAAATGTAGTATCTACATACAACGGAATATTATTCAGCCATAAAAAGCCATAAAATTTTGAATATGCTGTGGACAGCGGTAACAAAAAGGAGTACACATGTCAAGGCTTCTAAAATGGAGCTGGGAGGCCATCAGGGAAGTGAGATTTATGTGCATCTCTAGGCAGAAGGAATGTAACCTTTGAACTGTGCTTCACGGCTGTCATCCTGACCTTCTTCCAAGAAATATGCTTAACTCGCTGACAAATAAAAATGGCAAGCAATAGGATATATTGGAGTATATGAGGAAGCCATTTGGTATAAACCTAATTCGGCCTGACTTCTCTTTTTTCCCTCCAAAAGGGCCTGACTGGCTATTGAGCACGCATTGCATATCTGCTTAGACATTTCCTATGGCCAGAACAAAGGCCCTTGTGATAAAGATGCAACTTCCCCCCCACATTAGCATTTTTCCTTAGGCTAGGAACTGATTGCTGCACTCACCTCCCAGCTCACCTGTGACCACCCAGCTGGAGACAAGAGACTGCCACCCTGCTGTGTTCACCAAGACAGAAGACCTACCTGCTACTTCCATCAATCGGCTGTGCCGACAGAGTAGTCTCGCGACTATTGTAAAAGGAACATTCCAATCATATGTGAAACATCCTCTTTGAGGGTATATAACGACCCTGTATACCCCCCCACCTCTTTGGAGTGCTCTGTTCCTTTGTGGAAAGACTCTCCCGGGTTATAATCCTCAGATTTAAGCTCAGAATAAACTCACCCAAATTTTCATTTATAGATTGGATATGGATTATTTTCGTCGACATCACACAGATCAGAACTTTCTCCCTCAGAGATGGCCTTAGCAACCAATCATGTATAGCCCAGAACTAACAGTTGTTGCCAGCACCAATCACAAATCTTGCAAAACAACCTATGTAAGTTATCTCTTTTAGCTTTTACAAACCCTTGTCTTGTTTGTCTTCCTCAGAGCACATCTTGGGTTTCTACCTGAATCTGTGCTTCCCAAATTACAATTCTAATTTCCCAAATAAATATCTCCTGTTTAAATTGTAGTGGATTTTTCCTTGGTTGACAATGCCACAATATGCATGGACCCTGAGGACATTATGCTGAGTGAAATAAGCCAGACACAAAAGGACAAATGTATCATTCCACTTATATGAGGTCCCTAGAGTAGTCAAATTCATAGAGACAGAAAGGCAAATGGTGGGTGCAAGGGCTAGAAGGAGGTGAAATGTGGAGTTGTTTAACGGAGACAGAGTTTTTCCTTGGGATGATGAACAAGTTCTGGAAATGGATAGTTGTGATGGTTGCACAACAGTGTGAATATGGATAATGCCACTAAATTGTACACTTAAAAATGGTTAAAATAGTACATTTTTTGTACATATTTTACCACACACAAAAAAAGTAGTAACAAAGAAAAGACACATTTCACATACCTGCAGAATCTGATTGTTCTTCTCCTGAAGCTGCAGAGACAAAGACTCTTTCTCTTTTCGGTAAAAAGACTGAGCCTGCTCCCTCTCATGTCTGTGTAACTCCTCTTTTTCATGCAAAACAGCTTTCTTTTCACATTCAAATTCACCCTGTACAAAAGCACATTATTAAAAATAACAAAAAATGTCATTAAGCTATAAAATTATGCTCATTCCATTTCTCTGCTGTTTGCTAGAATTTAGTTCATTCAACAAATATTTATTGAGTCCGTACTCTGTGTCAAGAGCAGTGATCAAAAAAAGCCAAGACCGCAACCCACAGCCAACATAAATTCAAGTGTGCTTATCATCTAGAATATAAAATAAATAGCTTGCTATCGTTCCCAGTCACATTAAGAAGTTCTCCATCATCAGGGTATTATGATCATCAAAATCCAAGATATTTAGAAACCTAGGTTCTTTGGTTTCAAAAGATAAACTCTGTTTCTTCTTTTTTTCTTCTTCTCCCCAAAGTGTCCCCCCCAGTACATAGTTGTATATTCTCATTCTAAGTGCCTCTAGTGCTATGTGGGACGCCGCCTCAGGATGGCCTGGGTGCCATGTCCACACCCAGGATCCAAACTGGTGAAACCCTGGGCTGCCGAAGCAGAGCACGTGAACTCAACCACTCAGCTATCAGGCCAGCCCCCGTTTCTTCTTAAATAATAAAAAATGTTTTTAATAAGGTTTATGTAATAAGTTAAACTGTATTAACAAAATAAGCTTATTTTTTAAAAAGAAACTGCAGAGGCAGCACTTCCAGAATGGCAGGATGAGGACCTCCAAAAATCGGCTCCCCTAGAAAAGCATTGAGAAAACTGGCAAAAACTGTCAAAACTTTTTCAGAGCTCTGGTATTTAAGAAAGGCTTGCAATAATCCAAAGAAGTGAAAACAAAGGCTGAGTCTCCATCAGAATAGTAAATTTTCGGTGTTTGAATCTGCTGGATCCTGTCAATCCAATCCTGGGAGATCTTGGAAAACAGCAGCCCGGGAGCTGTGAACAGGGGGACGACAGAATGAGTCTGGAGCTCCTCAAAACACCACCCTACCAACTGCACCAACTGACCTGTCTGGCAGCTCACTGAAAAGCTTCATTCTCCAAGGTGGTCTTTACTGGATCTGATGCAGAGCTTACTCAGTGTCAAACATCCTACCCCCAGGCCATTTGTCAAAATAACCAGCAGAAACTGTTTTACATCACAGTGGCCTGAGGCTGTGATATCAGTTGGAGTTAATAATAGACTGACCAAAAAACTTAAAAGGAAACACTAGAGAATCAGATGTCAACAGGGGGCTATGAAAAGCTCCAACATGTTCCTGGGAATTTAGAAGGCATGAACATGCACGTGGCTGGGCACGTGCCCAGAAAGACCTGAGAAGGCTCTCATCTCCCACTGCTCCTGCAACTCTGCACAAGCAGGAAGGGAAAGGTAAGGCAGAGCTACAGACCGCCTGCCAGAGCACTGAAAGCAGGCCCCAGCCAGAGCCGCTCAGTGCAGACACAGAAGCACAACATGGAACCAGATACTCTGCAGCAGGAAAGCGCAACTGCTGAGATGAAAAATTCCCTGCAAGGGCGCAGCATCAGATTCAACTGGACAGAAGAATCGGCAAACACGCAGACAGGTCAAATGAGATTATTCAGTCTGGGGTGCAGAAAGAAAAAAGAATGAAGAAAAGTAAGTACAGCCTTAAAGCTCCATGGGACACCCTCAAAGACCAACACACACAGAACGGGAGTCTCAGAGGAGAGGAGAAAGGGAACAGGGCAGAAAGAACACTTAAAATTATAATGGCCCAAACATTTACAAATTTGATGAAAACATATTAATCTACACATGCAAGAAGCTCAATGAACTCCAGATTGGATAAACTCAAAGTGATCTACACCTAGGCAGCTCATAATGAAACTGCTGGAAGACAGAAAGAGAAAGAAACTTGAAAGCAGCAAGAGAAAAGACTCAATGCAAGGGATACTCAATAAGACTAACAGCTGGCTTTCTTCTTGTGAGGCACCAAAGAGACCAACAGGCAGTGGGATGACACATTCCAAGTGCTGAAAGAAAAGGACTGTCAACCAAGAATTCTACATCCAGGAAACCATCCAAAATGAGGGAGAAATTAAAACATTCCCAGATAAATAAAAACTGAGAATTCACGACTAACAGACCCACCCTGAAGAAATACTAAAGGGAGTCATTCAGGCTAAAATGAAAGAACACTAGACATTCACTTGAGTCCACATGAAGAAATAAAGAACACCGATAAAGGTAACTATAAAACACAAAATAAATGTAGCTTTTGTTTGTAATTTTTTTCTATTTGATCTAAAAGAGAACTGTCTATAGCAATGAGCATAAAATGTATACAGATGCACTTCGTATAACAATATGAGCTCAAAGGAGGAAGGAGGAAATGAAGCTATATAAGAGTTTACAGTTTTGTAAACTACTAAAATCAAGTTGGTAATGATCTGAACTAGATTGTTATAGGGTGTTCACTGTAATCCCCAGGGTAAACACTAATAACTCAAAAGAAGATACAGAAAAATGACATCAAGAAGTTAAAATGAAAAGAAGGCAGTAATGGAGAACTAGAAGAAGAAAAGAGATATAAGATACAGAAAAAGCAAACAGCAAGTACTGGTACAGCTGCCACCCACACAGACCTGGAAAACATTATGCTAAGTAAAAGAGACCAAACACAAAGACGGCGCATATTGTACAATTCTCTTTCTACAAACGTCCAGAAAAGGAAAATCCAAGAAACAAAGTAGAATAGCGGCTGCCAGGGGCTGGGGGAGAGAAGAGAATGCTAATGAGTGCCGGTTTTGTTTTTGTCGTGATACAAATGTTCTGGAGTTAGATAGCAGTGACAGTTGCACAACTCTGTCAATCCACTAAAAACCACTGAAATGTACACACTTTAAAAGAGTGATTTTGGGGGCAGGCCTGGTGGTATACTAGTTAGGTTCGTGCACTCCGCTTCGGCGGCCCAGGGTTAGCAGGTTTGGATCCCAGACGTGGACCTAGGACCACTCATCAAGCCACACTGCGGCGGCATCGCACATAAAATAGAGGACGAGTGTCACAGATGTTAGCTCACCGACAATCTTCCTCAAGCAAAAACAGGAAGAATGGCTCAGGGCTAAACTTCCTCACACACACAAAAAAAGAGTGACTTTTATGGCATATGAATTATATCTCAAAAAAGCTGTCATTAAAAAAAGCAAAACAAACCTACAATAAAAACTGTCATGAGAAGTGAAGGTATTCACAGACATCCTTCCGTGAAAACTAGCTCATTAAAGCAAGAAAAGCCTTGATGTGACTGCTGAGTCACCAAAGCAAGGCAGTAAGACAAACCTTCTCAGATTTGGAATATTTAATGACAATTCTTAGCAGAAAAGGTATGCTAACCAGCCGATTTAAATATAAAAATGAATGAAAAAATTGCCCAGATCTGTTTCAAAAACAATGAAAATATTTTGTTCTACTTTTGCATACCAAAACTAATTCAGAATAAAATTTTCTTATTTACTTTGCAGATGAGAAAAGATAGCAATAAAATCGTTGTTAGTACCACTGAGTCCACTCCGACTCCTAGTGACCCTGTGTGCAGCAGAGCGGAACCCTGCCCTCTTTCTCTGCCATCCTATCACCTTCCAATGCTGTACCAGACAATACACCGCTGCTATTCACAGGTTTTCATGGCCAGTTTTTTCGAAAGTGGGTGGCCAGGTCCTCCTTCCTAGCCTGTGTTAGTCTGGAAGCTCTGCTGAAACCCGTTCACCCTGGGACCCTGCTGGTATTTGAAATCCCAGTGACGTAGCTTTCAGCATCACAGCAACACACAGCTACCACAGTATGACAACTGACAGATGGGTGGTGCGGTTCCCTGGACCAGAAATGAATGCAGGCCGTGGCGGTGAGAGCGTCGAATCTTAACCACTAGACCGCCACGGCTGGCAAGCAATAAAATAGATCACTCTTAATCCCAGTACCTTTAGCTGTGCGATCTTCTGCTCAAGCAAGGCTTCCGACTGGCACGTCTGCAGCTCACTCTCCTGAGAGCAGAACTGCTGCTGCTTCTCCTCTTCCAGCTCGGCCGGGAGAGCCGAGCCCTGGGCCTCAGCCTCTGCAGGGACCGGGGCACTCTGCTTGAAGGAGGAGGAAGAGTCAACACTGAGCTCTGACCTTACACACGGACAAGTCTTGATCCTGGAGATGGCCCTTCTTCCACATATTTTCACTGTGACGACACATGGGAGCCAGGTCAGAGCTCAGGGAAAACTCTGAGCCACTCCATCTGTAGGCCCTGGATCCTCAACTCCATCACGATAATCAGAAACAGGGCTTGCATGGTACACAACACTGAAATTATATTTTCAAGTTACAGAGACCATATCAGAATTAACACAGGTCATTTTTATAAACTTTCTCTCCTGAAACAGATTTAATTTCCAATCCTTTAAAAGGAAGGATCCAAGCGCAACTTCCGAGTTATGACACACTACAAGGTTTCCCAAGTACTTTATGTCATTTATACCACACGACTACCTTACAGGGGAAGGATGGGTTAACCTGGACCATTCACAGCTAGGAAGGAAGCTGCAGCCCTGAAAGTAATCGGGGTTGCTGGTTCGGTGCATTGCCAACCACAAAATGCCAGTGAAAACAAGAAAACTCAAACACCAACAGGCACCACAGACAGGCAGGGCCAAGGGACAGCAGCCACACTCTTTCTCCCAAAAGAGACCCCACATGAAATGTTTCCACTCACTGGGAAGGACACTGGAAAAAATAAGAAACATTAATACCCGAGAAAAGGCAATCTCCCAGAAACAGGATAAATCATGACTAACAGTCAAGCTGAAATGAAATCATGGCAGATCAGCAACTGGGCCCAGGGCCCGGCACAGCCACTGGGGCACTTCCCCCTCAGCACCATCAGCGAGGGGTCCTGATGCCAAACCCGTATTCTCACCATGCATGTTAAATACTCTGGTTAAGAGCGAGAAGGCTTAAATACATGGTTCTTGGGAAATTCTTTTGAGCCACAGATCACTTTCTTCAGGCAAAAATCTTTCACAGAAGCAAACTTCTGTCTGAGGAGTCCAAGAGCATTATACGCCCCAACATGCCCTCATGAAACCCCCACCCCTGAGTCCTGGGGTGCCTGCACTCTGCACTGCGAAGACAGCACTGCCCAGCAGGCTCTGGCCACCTCTCTAGCCATGTGGTCCTTCTAGGCCTCAGGGTCACTGCCTACCCACAGAAAGGGTAGAGGGTGGAGTCTAGATGAAACCCTTGCTGAGAAAGGCACACAATCAAGAACCAGCCCCACTGATGACAAGGCCTTCCTCATCTGCCCCACTGGGGTGCCATGGTCCTCACTTGTGAAGGCAGCCGGGAGCTAAGATTATCACTTAGTTCTTCACCTTCATTTTGTTTCAGGAAGAGTTTTAAGGCAGTTTACAGAGAGACAAAGTGTAACAAGATAGCATAAACGTAGGCAGAACAGGAAGCGCAAAGCACCCGTCCCCTGTGCACTGTGGAAATGGGCCCTATTTTCCACCTGCAGGAGCAGTAGGGCCACTGGATACCTGTCCTGCCCAGTGTGCCCCAGGCCTGGAGCAGGACCTTGCAGAAGTGCACCATGACAGAGGCCAAGGCCCAACATGGCGGCGTCATGCAGACACTCAGGAGCCAGGCAAGGCAATGTCAAGGGCATGCACCCCCGTGCAGGAAGGCAGCCCGTGTGCGCTCAGGAAAGGCCGCAGGCAGCATCCACATCCTCAGCCACCTCTCGACCTAACTGGACAGGCTCAAAGGAGATTTTACTCATGCAACTCCTCTACCCACAAGACCTCCTTACAGACGATCATACTATTTCCAGCCATGAGTAAAACTCTATTTAATTTGCCCTGTTCTAAATGGTAAGGTCAATGTAAGAAAAAGATGTTTTCAAAAAGTTATTCAACTTAGTATCGAAATTGGCATGGAAGAAGTGAAACTCATGCTGTCTGCAGAAGACATGATTCTATATATAGAAAACCCTAAAGAATCCAACAGAAAACTCTTAGAAATAATCAACAACTACAGCAAAGTTGCAGGTTACAAAACCAACTTACAAAACTCAGTTGCATTTCCATACTCTAATAATGAACTTACAGAAAGAGAACTCAAGAACACAATCCCATTTACGATCACAACAAAAACAATAAAATATCCAGGAATAAATTTAACCAAGGTGATGAAAGACCTATACACTGAAAACTGTAAGACACTATTGAAAGAAACCAGGATGACATAAAGAGATAAAAAGAGATCCCAAAGCAATCTACAGATTCAATGCAATCCCAATCAGAATCCCAATGACATGCTTCGTGGAAACAGAGCAAAGAATCCTAAAATTCATATGGGGCAACAAAAGACCCCGAATAGCCAAAGGAATCCTGAGAAAAAAGAACAAAGCTGGAGGCATCACAATCCCTGACTTCAACATGTACTACAAAGCCATAGTGATCAAAACGGCATGGTACTGGTACAAAAACAGGCACAAAGACCAATGGAACAGAACTGAAAGCCCAGAAATAAAACCGCACATCTACAGACAGCTAATCTTTGACAAAGTAGCTGATAAATAAATGGCAAGCAATAGGATATACTGGAGTATATGAGGAAGTCTTTTGGTGTAAAACTAATTCGCCTGACCCTGTTTTTCCAAAATGGTCTGAGGTAACTGTTGAGCATGCACTGTATATCTGCTTTAAGTACTTACTATGTTCCAAAGACAAGAACAATGCCTTGTAAGATAAAGAAAGATGTAACTTCCCCCACATCAGCATCTCCATAAGCACCTCTCCCTAGGTTAGGGATTGATTGTTGACCTGCTGTGACCATCCAGCTCAAGACCACAGACCTGCTACCTGTTGTGTTCATAAATGGCTGTGTGAATCACTGTGCCAGCTAGGCCATTTCATGACCATTGCAAAAGGGACATTCCAATATATGTGAAACACTCTTTGATGGTATATAACCACTCTGTACACCCTACTTCTTTGGAGTACTCCCTTCCTTTGTGAAAGGACTCTCTTGGGCTATATGGTCCTCAGATCTGGCTCTTAATAAACTCACCCCAATTTTGATTTATAGATTGGTTATGGATTACATGCATTGACAGAGCTAAGAACATACAATGGAGAAAGGAAAGTCTCTTCAATAAATGGTGCTGGGAAAACTGGACAGTCACATGCAAAAGAATGCAAGTAGACTATTGTCTTTCACCATACACAAAAATGAACTCAAAATAGATCAAAGACTTGAAGGTAAGATGTGAAACCACAAAACTCCTAGAAGAAAATATAGGCAGTACACTCTTTGACATCAGACTTAGCAGCATCTTTTCGAATACCATGTCTACACAGGCAAGGGAAACAAAAGAAAACATAAACAATGGAACTTCATCACACTAAAGAGCTTCCACAAGGCAAAGGAAACCAGGATCAAAATGAAAAGAAAACCCACCAACTGGGAGAAAATATTTGTAAATCATATATCCGACAAGCAGTTAATCTCCAAAATGTATAAAGAACTCATACAACTCCACAACAAAAAAACAAACAACCCGATCAAAAAACGTGCAGAGGATATGAACAGACATTTCTCCAAAGATACACAGATGGCCAATAGGCACATGAAAAGATATTCAACATCACTAATTCTCAGGGAAATGCAAATCAAAACTACACTAAGATATCACCTTACACCCGTTAGAATGGTTGTAATCACTAAGACTAAAAATAACAAATGTTGAAGAGGTTGTAGAGAAAAGGGAAAGCTTGTCCACTGCTGGTGGGAATGCAAACTGATGCAGCCACTATGGAAAACAGTATGAAGATTTCTCATAAAACTAAAAATAGAAATACCATATGACCCAGCTATATCCCAATACTGGGTATCTATCCAAAGAACTTGAAATCAACAATTCAATGAGACTTATGCACCCCTATGTTCACTGCAGCATTATTCACAACAGCCAAGACGTGGAAGCCACCCAAGTGCCCATCAACTGATGAATGGATACACGATGGAACACTACTCAGCCATAAAAAAACAAAATCGTCCCATTCTCAACAACACTCATGAACCTTGAAGGCATTATGTTAAGCAAAATAAGTCAGAGAAAGACAAACACCATATGATTTCACTCATATGTGGAAGATAAACAAATACATGGACAAAGAGAACAGATTAGTGGTTACCCAAGGGGAAGAGAGTGGGAGGTGGGCACAAGGGGTGAAGGGGCACATTTATGTGCTGACTGAGAAACAATAAGGTACAATTGAAATTCACAGTGTTATAAACTATTATCACCTCAATAAAATTCAAAGAAAAAAAGGGGGCTGGCCCTGCGGTGTAGTGGTTAAGTTCATGCACTCCACTTTGGCAGCACAGGATTTATTTGGATCCTGGGCACAGACCTACACACCACTCATGAGCCATGCTGTGGTGGTGTCCCACATACAAAATAGAGTAAGACTGGCACAGATGGTAGCTCAGGGCTAATCTTCCTCAAGTAAAAAGAAGACTGGCAACAGATGTTAGCTCAGGGCCAATCTTCCTCACCAAAAAAATAAACAAATAAATAGAATAAAAAAACAAGAAGAGTTGATACTAATAACTTGCATTTTTTAACTTTACGTAAACAGTTTCATACTGTAAAAACAAAAAAAGCTTTTCTCAAGTTTTTCTCAAACTCTACAGAATTATAGGGAAAATGTCATATACATATTTTAATCATTAAGAAAACATAATAGTCATGCATAAAGAAGAAAAAAATAAGTAGTACTGCACAAAGAATATCAATGTATTAACAAAAACAAATTCAACTGATGATGAACTAAAGACATTCAAACTATATCTAGACTGTCCACAGGTTCTCTTAATATGTTCAAAAATTATCATATGAATAGATTTGCTTTTTGGGTTTTTTTTTTTTTTAACAAGAAAAGATAAAATTGTCTTAGGTAATCAATACTGGTCATACTACCGCATTCCAGAATTCTGCTTAGTGTTACCAACAGGAGGATGAGGATGTCACCAACATGGGATACATATCTCTAAGAAAAAGAAATCAAGCTTACGTTTGTGGAGA